CTCGGATCTTCAGAACGCACTGTGGGCCTTAAAGACACATCAGCCAGCCCGGCCGGCCGGCCGGCGTGGCTCAGGGGTGAGCATCGGCCTGGGAACCGGGAGGCCAGGTCAGGGCACAGGCCCGGGGTGGCAGGCTCCATCCCCGGTGGGGGGCGTGCAGGAGGCGGCCGGTCCATGAGTCTCTCTCCTCATCGATATTTCTCCCGATTTCTCTCTCCCTTGCTCTCTGACATCAGTAAAAATACATTAAAAATAGCCCTGACCGGTGTGTCTCCGTGGATAGAGCGTCAGCCTGCATACTGAAGGGTCCCGGGTTCGATTCCGGGCAAGGGCACGGACCTTGGTTGCGGGCACATCCCCGGTGGGGGGGCGTGCAGGAGGCAGCTGATCGATTCTCTCTCATCGATGTTCCTAGCTCTCTCTCCATCTCCCTTCCTCTCTGTAAAAAAAAAAAAAAAAAATCAATAGAACATCTTTAAAACAAACAAACAAACAAACAAAACCAGGACCTTGGAGTGGACAGTGCAGGGCGGAGAGACCGCGGCCTCGGGGACAGCTCCCGTCTCGGGGAGCCTGGGGCACTCACCCCTCCTCCGGGGAGAAGCTCCCCAGCAGCAGTGGCGTGCTCTCGGTGCAGCAGGCGTCCCGGGCCCTGGAGCTGCCGAGCCGGGCGGAAGGCGGGTGAGACCTGGGAGACACACACAGAGCAGCAGCGGCGACAGGTGCCACCCCGCCAGCAGGGGGTGCCCTCCCGACACCGGAGAGCGAGGGGCGGGGACCACCGTCTCCCGTGAGGGTCTGCAGAGTTCTCTCTGGCCGGTGCGGCCCTTGGGGGAGGAGGAGAGCGAGAGAAACATCCACGATCGGAGCGAATCACCCATCGGCTGCCTCCTGCCCGCCCCGCCCTGGAGATGGAGCCCGCCCCCCGGGCCTGTGCCCTGACCGGGGGCATCGAACCCTGACCTCCCGGTGTGTGGGCCGATGCTCAGCCCGGAGCCCGGCTGGGCGAGCGGGCGGGCGCTAACACATTTCAAACTCACCTCTGCTCCGTGAGGAAGAGGCCGCCATCCCGGTCGCCCGGAGCCCAGCAGCTCGGCCCGGCCGCCTCCCGGGGGTGAGGGTTCTCGGGGCCCGGCGGCGGCTGGCGGCGGCCGGCGGCGAGGCCCAGGCTGGCACGCGGGGATGCGGACGTCTGATGGAGCTCCACCTCCAGCTGGCCGGAGCCCAGCCGGCCGCCCTCCTGCCCCAGATGCATGTCCGCCGCCTCCTGCCCCTGGGGCCGGCGGAGAGAGAGAGAGAGAGAGAGAGAGAGACCGTGACGGACGGGCAGGCTCCCAGCAGCCCGGGCACCCTCACTGCCGACGGCGCCACTGAGAGGCCTCCCTTTTCTCGCCTTAATCCGTTTTTAAATTTTTAAATGTATTTTCATGGACTTCAGAGAGGAAGGGAGAGGGAGAGACAGAAACATCCATGATGAGAGAGAATCATGGATTGGCTGCTCCTGCAGCCACTGGGGACCGAGCCGGCAACCGGGAATGTGCCCTGGACTGGAACTGAACTGGGGACCCTTCAGTCTGCAGGCCGATGCTCTATCCACTGAGCCACACCAGCCAGGGCTTTATTGACTTGAGAGCGAGAGCGAGAGCGAGAGCGAGGGAGAGAGAGAGTGAGTCAGGGAGAGAGATCAATTGGTTGCTCTCACTTATAGTGCATTCATTGGTTGATTCTTTTTATTTTTTAAAAAATCTTCATTGTAGGATATTTTCCATTGATTCTCAGGGAGAGTGGAAGAGAGAGGGAGAGACAGAGACACAGCCACTGGCTGCCTTCTGCACGGGCCCCAACCAGGGCCTGGGCCGGGAGGTGCATGCCCCTGCGGTGGGTGCCTCTGACGTGTGTTCGAGTACCCTCCCACTCCCAAGCCCAGACCGGGACCCTGAGCCGCCTCCTCCTGGGTCCAGGAACCTGTGTCCTGACTTCGGCTGGTGCCGGGGGCAGGGAGGGGGAGGAGGGGGAAGCACAGTTGGCAGCAAAGACAAAATCCAGAACCAAAACCCTGAAAAATCCATCCAGCACACGAGGTTCTCACCCCTGGATGGGTGACTCCCTATGTCTGACGGCATTCCGGGGGAGTCCTGAGCCCGCTCGGCTCTTCCCATCAGCCCCCTGGTGCACCCACCCCACCCGGAGACACTCCCCTCCCCCCGTGACCCGCCCACTCTCACCCAGCTGAGCCCGCCCCCATGAAGTGTCCCTCCCAGACGCAGGGCTGAGCAGTGACTCTGCAGCCGGCTAGCTGCCCCCTGCCCCACAACCTCCGTGATTTTCCCCCAAACACACATCTATCTGACCCCTGGGCCTCCCGCTCAAAACCTGTCCCGGGCCCGGCCGGCGTGGCTCCCTGGCCGAGCGTCGACCTGTGAACCGGGTGGTCAGGGTTCGATTACCGGTCAGGGCAGGTGCCTAGGTTTGCAGGCTCCATCCCCAGTCTGGGGTGTGCAGGAGGCGGCCGGTCCATGATTCTCTCTCATCACGGATGTTTCTCTCTCTCTCTCTCTCCCTCTCCCGGCCTCTCTGAAATCAATACAAATAATAGAAAAAGAAACACACACCAAAAAAACCTGTCCCAGCTGTCTCAGGTGTGGGTACCGTCGGGCCGCCCTTGGCCCCATGGTCCCCGACGCCCTCAGACCTCGGCCAGGCCCCAGGCGGGTGGGGTGAGACGGTCTCAAGGGCCGGTATCAGCCAAGGGCAGAAAACCTCCAGAAACGGAGACTCCTAAGTCACCCCCAGTCACACGGGCATGAACAGCTGGCACGCAAGCGTCTGCAAACTCCGTTTGCAGGAAAGGGCAGATGCTCTCTCTCCTGGGAGGCTCCCGAGAGCCAGCTAAACTGACTCCTCTCCAGCGATCCTGGGAGAGTTGGCATCCCAGCTGCAGGCCACCTCCCCCCCGGGGCCCAGCGCCCCCTCTCCCTGGGGCTTGATCCTGGGGCCGAACGGCAGACCCCATGCCCCCACCCCCGACAGCCAAGCCCCATGGCTCGGGTGCCAAGGACCTGCCTTGTATTCAGGACAGAGCTGCTGCCCACGGGGCTCACAAGCAGCCTCCTGTTCTCTCTGCCTGGGAGCCATCCATCCATCCACATCCCCTGAGCCGGGGCTCAGCCAGGCCCCTCGCCGGAGCAGCCCCAGGCCCAGGCCCGGGTCTGCAAGCCCAGGATGTGGTCACCCAGGCCCCTGGAAAGCGCTGGCCGCAGGACCCGGCAGGACCCCATGCAATCCCTCCGTGTGTGGCCGGGGAGCAGCCGGAGGGCTTGGGAGGGCGCATTCCGTTCCCAGAGACGCCTGACCCGTGCGCTCACGTGCCTGCCAGGCGGCCGCTGCGGGGAGCGGACCCCGCTGGGCAGGCCACGCAGAGCCCCGGCCCGAAGGCCTGGGAACCCTTCCCGGCTCCCGCCTGGGCACACCCGGGCCCCCTCCCGCCCGGGGAGCCCTCCCCCGGGCACCGCTCCTGTCCCCCCAGGAGGTGCGCTTGGCGCTGCGCTAACACCCGCGCCTCCGGCTTTCACAAACTTTCTCCAAAAAGCGACCGCCCGCCCACCCACCCAGGGCTCCTGCAACCCCGCCGGCTCCCCACCTCCGGCCCCCGACCCACCTGAGGGCTGGCTCTTCCTCCCGGAGCGAAGCCGGAGCTCCGAAGAGCGAGCTCTGAGCCGCGAGGGGAGCGCAATCCGTCGGGTGCGCGCGCGGGGCAGGCCGGCGCCTTCCTCCCTGCCCAGCCCCGCCCCCAGCGGCCCCGCCCCGCCCCCCGGCGGCCCAAGGACCAGGAGGAGGGGCCCCCTGCACCCCAGAGCTGTGCGCTGGGGACAGGGTTTCTCCGGGATAACGGGAACTGGGACAGCCACTCGGAGGGCATGGTCTGCCTACGTTTTCTTTTGTGCAGCCCCCCCCCGCCCCCCGTACCCCAGCCTGGACCAGAGAACCGCAGCCCGGCCCCTCCCTCAGCAGCCCCTGTCCCTCCAGCGGGCCCCAAGGAGAGTGGAAGAGAGAGGGTCCCAGTGAGGCGCACAGGCACCTCTCCCTGGAGTCAGCAGCCCCCGGTTCACCCTTGGCTCTGAGGCCACAGGCTCCCTGAAGGGCCCTTTCCACAAGGCCGTCTTGTGGAGACCGGGGCATCCCATTGCCCGGGTCAACGTGATTTTTATGGATCCAGCCGGCAACAGACCTGCCAAGGCCGAAGGGCACAGCCTAGTCCCAAAGTGCTGTCAGTCCTGGCCCCAAACAGCCAGCCCAGACCCCGAGGGCCAGCCTAGCCGAGAAGAGTGGGGCAGAGCCCAGACCCTCAGAGCCAGCCTCGACCCCAAGGCCATAGCTCGTGGGGCTGTGCACCCCGATGGGGAGCCGAGGTCCGCAGAGCCTCGTGCTGCTGAGGAAAGTTGTACGCTTGGTTACTCACAGGAGCAGAAAGACAGGCTCAGTCCCCGCCCACCCCCAGGGCCCTGGAGGGTTGGGGCGAGGGCCCCGGCTCCCTGCCCGCCCTCCCTCTCCTGAGGGCCGGCCTGTCACTGCAGGGCGTGGTGTCTGCCCCCGAACACAGCCGACTGGGGGCTGGGGGACGTGCTGGCGGAGGCCGCTCCCAGGCTGTGCGACCCCGTGCAGGGAAGAGACGCTCATGGCTCTGACTGCGCTTTATTTATAGGTGGGGTTTAGGCACATACATGACATACATGTGTACAGGGCCATCGGACTCTGGGTTTTGGTTGAAATAACCTCTGGATGCGTTCAAGTAACACTGATCAACTCATGTTCCAAAAACATTTAATAAACTCGGAATAAAACGGTGACGTATTTATAGCCGGCCGCCGGCCACGCAGGTTTCCACGCACAGCGGGCAGGGCGCAGGCGCGGAGCGGAAGGCTCTGTCCGCTCCTGGGAGCCGGCATGTACACGGCGAGGCAGCAACAGGGGGCCTCCGTCTGCAGGACGGGGTCCGGCGCTCAGTGCCCCGTGAGATAGTCCTGCGTGGAGTCGGAGGCGAAGGAGTCCACGTCCTCGTTCTCCGAGTCCTCGCTGCTGTCCGCGGCGGCTGGCTCGCCGGTGAGGGCGATGCGGGCGTAGTCATCGGTGTCGATGGACTTGCAGAAGTGGATGGCGTACTTGAGCTTCTCCTCCAGCACCTGCCGGCAGGAGTAGCGGGGCAGCTTCAGCAGGAAGAAGCAGGTGTAGGACTCGGGCAGGAAGTGGTCGGGCGGGCTGTACTTGTCCAGCACCTGCAACGGGACAGAGCTCCTGAGGACGGTCCGTCCGCGGGCCGTGGCTCCCAGCCCGCAGAGCAGAGCGGCGGTTACCGTGAGGACGGCTGTGCAGAATCAGGCTGCGGGAGGCCCTCGCCCCCCGGGACCACCTACGTTCAGTGAGAATGACACGTGGCTGACAGGCCCGGGGGCCTGGGGGCAGCCTGGCCGTCACCCAGCGCCCGGTCTCAGCCGGGGCCGAGGACTCGCACTGAGCAGAGCGCGGCTCCCGTTCTGGCGAGCGGAGGACCTGGCTGTGTGCAGGGCCCACACTTCCCACGGGGATCCCGGCCCCGCGGGGGGCAGGGCGCCCACCTGGATGACGAAGTCGCGGCCCCGGAAGTCGGCGATGGTCCGGGGCAGCCGGGTGCGGCCCCACACGAAGCGCAGGAAGAGGGAGCGCTCCGTGGTGGAGAAGGCCTCCATCACCTCCCAGAACCACTGCACCAGCGGCGCCGCCGGCTCCACCCCCTTGTAGGTGGCCACCGACTTGAGCAGGTGCAGGGGGATGTCCGGGCTGCCACACACCTGGGGCAATGTCAGTCCGTCCGTCACTCTGCTGGCACCGCCACCCACCACCCGCCGCCCACTGCCACCCGCTGCCTGCCACTCACCGCCCACCCACCGCCCACCCACCCACCGCCCGCCATCCACCGCCCGCCACCCAGGCCGGCGGGGGCGGGGGCACCACGGGGCCCGGGAAGGAGGTGGAGACTGGCTTCCTGAGCCGAGCACCCCGGACCCCGAGGGCACGTGGACGAGGCAAGAGGCTCGGGGAGGGGGGTCACCCGGAAAGGCCTACCATGGTCTCCAGCTCGTAGCCGGTGAAGAGCGAGAGCAGGGGCACGGGCACCACGCGGGCCATGCCCTCCCGCACGGCAGCCACCTGCTCGTCGAACTCGTGGAGCCTGAGAGGAAGGCGCCGGGTGACCAGCTGCTCCCACCCGCGTTCCGGGGTGGGTGGTGGCGAGGATGGCCTGGGGGTGACGCGGCCCTCCCCGAGGCTCTCGTCCCCGTTCTCCTCTCTGCCCCCCATGCCCCCTCCCCCCCCCGGGGAGGGGCCCAGGCCCGCACGCACCGGTAGCTGACGGCCAGCCGCACGTACTCGGCGCGAGTGTCCAGGGAGATGTGCGTGTGCCGGGAGCTCAGCTGCACGTCCTGGCCGCTGGCACTGGGCACGGTGAAGGGCAGCCCCATGGCCTCGAACTCCTCGGCGGTGGCCTCGTTGTCGCGGATGTACATGAGGCCGGGGATGAAGTCCTTGTCCACCTCGCTGAGGTCCGCAATGGTCAGGCTCATGCCCGCCAGCTGCTTCCACACGGGCTCGGCCAGGCTGAGGCTCAGGGGGCTGCCGGTGCGGATGGCGATGCCCAGCAGCACGCCCAGGAAGCGGAACATGCTGGTGTGCACGGGCGCCCGGGCGGCGGGGCTCAGCAGGTAGCAGTCCCGGTTGGCCCCCGACTCGTCCCTCCCGTTGGGCGTCACGATCAGGAGGGGCGTGAGTCCGTTCTGCAGCTCCTCGCAGATCTCCGCGATGGACTCGCTGTAGCCGCCTCCGCAGTCGTCCACAGACTCGCCTTCGGGGGGGGGGGGGGGGGGAAGTGAGCCGTGTCCCCCGGAGCCCGAGGAGCCGCTCCCCCCCCCCCCCCCCCCCCCGAGGCCGGCACCCCGCCCGCGGCTCTCACCCACGAACTTGACCTTCCAGACGCGGTGCGGCAGCAGCAGGCTGTCGGGGCTGAGGGAGCTCATCTTGGCGCACATCTGCCCGAAGACGGACTTGGTGCCGTCGGGGCCCGCCAGGCCACCTTTGCTGCGGGAGCGTTTCACCTGCGGAGGGGGATGGCAGCTGGCGCAGCCGCAGGCACGCTCACGGGCAGGCCGGCCCGGGCCCTCGCCCGCCTCTGGGGGGACGGCAGCTGCAGCCCGTGGAGCCAGCACAGCGCGCCCCCCCCTCTCCCCCCCCGACACCGAGCGAGGCCGCCTGCACCTGGGCTCCCGAGCCTCCCGCGGAGCCCGCACCCGCCCAGGCCCGAGCTGGGCCTGCTGCCGTGCGGCCGCAGGGCCCTCCCGCAGGCTGGACGTGCAGGAGCTGCCGGCCGAGGCGGCCCGTGGCCAGCATCCTGCCGGCCGGTCGCTCCAAGGGCGGGGAGGCCGACGGGGAGGGCAGCGTGCCCCGGGGCGGGAGGAGCTGCCTGCGCCTCGCCCAAGAGCCTGCTTGTTCGGGCGCGGCCGCTCCCCACAGCCTGAGCTGCTGACACCCCCGAGGGCCTCTGCCCCACGCGGCCACACGTGCTCTGCAGCGGACCACAGACAGACACTGGACCGGAACGCCGAGCGAGCCCGGGAGCGCGCGCGCGCGTGTGACAAGCAGGCTGTTCTTTGGGGCTCCAGCCGCCGCTGGGGGGCCCCGTGGCCTCTCGGTGTTTGATGCCTGGTGGGCGCCACCCGAGCAGCCCTGGACTGGAGACGGTGCCTCCCCCAGTCCTCTGACCCCGCAGGCACAGCAGTGACTCGGCGTGAAGGGCGACAGAGAGGGGACGGGCGCCTAGAAGCCCCCCCCCTCAGGCCATGTGAGGCGGAGGCCCCCTGCAGGCACAGCAGTGACTCGGCGTGAAGGGCGACAGAGAGGGGACGGGCGCCTAGAAGCCCCCCCCCCCCCAGGCCGTGTGAGGCGGAGGCCCTCACCTGGATGCGGTTCAGCTCCACCACGGGCCCATGCTGCCGGTCGCGCACCATCGTGGCCTGCACCACCTTCCGGAAGGCCACCTCCTGAGGGACACGGGAGGGTGAGAGCCGGCAGGCACGGGGCCCGCCTGTCCGCACCTTAGGAGGCCCGTCCCAGCGCCTGGGGTTAGGCTCAGCAGACCCGGGGGCGGGGGCGGGGCCGGGGGCGGTACCTTGCCCTGGGAGATGAGGATGCCCCGCAGGGTGTCGAAGCCCACGGCGGGCCCCAGCCCCGTCTCGCCCAGCGCGCCCTCCAGGTCGAACATGGGGATGCAGGGGCAGAAGAGCTCTGAGAGGTGGTGCAGCAGCAGCAGCCGGTTCCGCAGGGCAACCACCGGGAGCTCCTGCAGGTGGTTGTACTCCATGGGCACCTGCAACGGAGGGAGGTCACGGTTTACGGCCTCCGTGCGGTTCTGGACGGAGGGGAGCGTCTCGCCGACACCCAGAGGGCGGCGGACGCAACGCCAGGCTGCAGTGAGCCCGAAGCGCCTCCAGCGGAGACCTGGGCCGCACAGGCACCCGCCGCCACACGCCCCTCCCGCCTCTCCCCGCAGCACCCACCTGTGCGGGCAGCTTCCCGGCGCTGGCGGGCTTGCTGGTGGACCAGGCCAGTGTGTGGGCCGAGCCGCAGGCCACGCGGTTGACCTTCCTCCCCTGCAGGGCGGCCACCAGCCGCGGCCTCTGGATGGCGTTGGTGGTGCCGTCCCCCAGCTGCCCCTCGTCGTTGTCGCCCCAGGTGTAGACCTCCCCTGAGGGCGGACGGAGAGCAGGGGCTAGGGAGGTCCTCACACCACGTGCCCCCGGCCTGTCCCTAAGCACTGCCCCCCCCCGCAGACACGGCCCCCCGGGAGAGGGCCCCCAAACCCCGTTCTGGGCCAGGAGGGCCCCGCCTGCACGCAGCCTCCCCACGGCCGCCCTCCCCGGGCAGCGGGACGCTCCCGGGACGCCCAGCCGCCGCCTACCCTCCTCGGTGCAGCACACGCAGTGCAGGGAGCCCGTGGCGATGGCGATGACCTTCTTCCCCTGCAGCCCCTGCACCTGCCGCGGCCGCCGCACGTGGTCATCGGAGCCGTGGCCCAGCCGGTGGTAGTCCCCTTTGCCCCTGGGGGAGCCAGGCTCAGGGCGAGGCCAGCCCTGCCCGCCCGCCCGCCCCATCCCGCCTCCTGGGCCGCGCCGGCTCCGGACACACCCCGCCCGCAGGGGCTTCACGGGCCCCCCACGAGAACCGGAACGACGCCTCAGGTGAGCCCCCCACCCCGCCGGGGGCGGCCCCGCGTACCAGGTGTAGACGGTGCCAGACTTGGTCAGGGCGACCGAGAACTGGGAGCCGCACTCCACCTTCACCACGCCCAGGCCCGTGAGCGAGTCGATCTGCGGGAGAGGCGTGTCCGCGGAGGGAGCGGAGCCTCGCCCCGGCCCCCGCCCCCGCCCCGCCCCGCGTGGATTCCCGCCGAGCCCTCCGCGGGCAGGAGCGGCGGCGGGCCCTCCTGGTCCTCCCCCGCACTCGGAGCCGGGCTCAGCGCAGGTACCTTCATGGGCACTTTGCAGCCGTCGCTGCCGCCGCGGCCCAGCTTGCCGTAGTCGCCGTCGCCCCAGGACCACACGGTGTCGTCGTCCGTGAGGCAGAGCGTCTGGGCGTCGCCGCTGCCACAGGCCACGTCCACCACGCGGTGGCCCTGCAGGGCCTCCACCTGAGGACGGCACGGAGGTTCGGGCTGACCCCTCACCTGACCCCAGCACGCACCAGGCGGCTGTCAGCTCCACCTGAACAAGCCTGTCCACGTGGAGAGGGACCGCCGCCCCAGCAGTGGCCGCGCCAGGGCGCCGCCTCACCAGCTTGGGCTTGAGCTGGTCCTCGCTGTCGCTGTGGCCCAGGCGGCCGTACCGGCCTTTGCCCCATGTGTAGAGGTCGCCGGCCGCGGTGACGCAGGCGCTGTGGGCCCCGCCGGCCGCGATGTCCACCACCTCGGTGCCTCGCAGGGACTCGACCACACGAGGGCGGTCACAGGGGCTGCAGAGAGGCCACGGCAGAGGCAGGTTACCCTCGCGCTGTCACACGCAGGCTGTGGCCCGGTGCCCGTGTGTTCTGTTCGCTCTCCTCAGCCCACGCCCTGCAAGCCGAGCTCCTTTTCACACTGAACTCCTCAGTCACAGCCGAGTGCGCCTTCTGTCACTTGGCCCGGGGCGCACAGACGAGGCCTCCGGCCCTGGCCACGTCTTACACCCACGGCCCCGCACCGAGTCCCTGACCGAGCCCTCCCTCTCCTCCACCCCCCCCCCACCGACAGCCTCACGGGCTCTGTCCCAGAGGCCCCCGACGCCACCTCTTTTTGCCGTTCCTGCTCGTCTCCCCCGACTGTGACCATAACAAGATGCCCCGCCCGGCCGCTCGCACCTGCGGTTGCCGTGGCCCAGCTTCCCGTCCTCGGCCTCGCCCCAGGAGTACACCTCGCCCTCGGAGGACAGGGCCAGGCAGTGCTTGCCCCCCGAGTTCACGGCCACCTTCCGGATGAACACGTGCTGGATGGACTCGAGCAGCGTCGGCGTGGACACCGACTCCGTGCCCCCGGCGCCGAGCCGGCCGCCGGCGCCGTATCCGGTGGCGTAGAGCTGGGCGGGGAGAACAGAGACGACAGCGCTTTACCCTGAGCCCGCGCCCGAGCAGCCGAGACCCACAGCGCCCTCGACACTCCAGCCGAGACAGAGAGCGAGCGACACGCCGGGCGCAGAGCTCCCGCCGCCAGCGAGGCGGAGGCGCTGTTTGCAACACCGATTCACAAAACGCGTTTGCAGTGCGGCCTCTCCTGGAGACGGCTGTTTTTGTCCAGACGCCAGCCATCCCTGATGCCAAGCACAAGACGGCTTCGTCACCGACTGCCGGCGGGTCACCGACAACAGCGCCCACAGAGACGCCCACAGGACACGTGCCGTCTCAGGACACACACGTCTTTACCGTTAACTTTTAAAAAGCAGACTGCCACTCCCAACGGGCAGTAAAGGCTGCGGCCCCCCCACGGGGCCCTCCCCCACGGGGCCCTCCCCCACGGGGCCCTCCCCACGGGGGACCGGAGGCAGCACAGACACGGCTCGCCGTAAAGACCCCGCGGTGTCCATGCCGACGACGGGAAAGTGCCCTTACCTTCCCATCGGCTGTGACGGCGAACAGAGTCTGCTCTCCGCCGATCAGCTGAACGGGCCTGAGGGTGGCCAGGGCCTCGCAGGGCGTGGGCACCTTCACCTTTGCCCCCTCGATGCCCCCGAGCTGGCCCCTGTGGTTATGGCCCCATCCGTAGATGGTGCCGCTGCCGCCGGCCGATAGAGTCCAGTCGTCTGGGCGCCTGGAGCGAGAGAAGCGCACCATGGACGTGGGCGCTCCCGGGTGAAGCGTGTCCCCCCCGGGTGAGGCGTGTCCCCCCCCGGGTGAGGCGTGTCCCCCCCGGGTGAGGCATGTCTCCCCGGGTGAGGCGTGTCTCCCCCGGGTGAGGCGTGTCTCCCCGGGTGAGGCGTGTCCCCCCCCGGGTGAGGCGTGCCCCCCCGGGTGAGGCGTGTCCCCCCCGGGTGAGGCGTGCCCCCCCGGGTGAGGCGTGTCCCCCCCGGGTGAGGCGTGCCCCCCGGGTGAGGCGTGCCCCCCCGGGTGAGGCGTGTCCCCCCGGGTGAGGCGTGCCCCCCCGGGTGAGGTGTGTCCCCCCCGGGTGAGGCGTGTCCCCCCCGGGTGAGGCGTGTCCCCCCGGGTGAGGCGTGTCCCCCCGGGTGAGGCGTGCCCCCCGGGTGCGGCGTGCCCCGTGGCGACCTGCTCATCCACTGCACCAGCTGCTCGTCGTGCTCCCTCCGGAAGACGTCGTGGCTCTCGTGCAGGACGTCCATGGCCTCGCCGTCGGCCATGAGCTCGCGGATCTTCTTCGCCACCTGGAGACACACAGTGAGGCCCACACGCCCGCTCCAGGGCGACGGGACCCCGCTCTGCCCCCCAAGGCGACGGACCCCTGCGCACCTCGTCCAGAAAGAGCCGGGGCAGCGGCGTCCGCCGGTCCAGGGCCACGGCCACGCGGGCGGCCATGCAGTACCTGCGGAACCAGGCCCACTTGTGCGTCTCCGCGCAGCAGGGGAGCGTGTCCAGCTCCAGGTCACAGGCGAGAGCCACCAGCACCTGCAGAGGGTCACGCAGGGTCACGCCGGCCCCAGGCGCCGCCCGGGAGCCTCTGCAGCTGCTGCTGCACGCGCTGCCCCGCTCCCCCGAGCCACGTGCCTTAAAGAAGGGGCTGTGCAGCAGCTGCTTGCCGCCCCGCACGACGGGGTCCTCGTACTCGAACTGCCTCTCCAGGGTCTCCGGCAGGCCCTTCACCAGCGCAGCCAGCGCGCTGCCCGTGAAGCTCTGCGGGAACAGTACACTGTAGCCGCGTCCCCCACCCCCGGCCCCCATGCTTGGCCTCCGAACCCAGCGTTCCGTCCTATGGGTGCCCATCTCCCTAAAAATGCAAGCAGGGGGGACCTAAAAGGACATGACACCCTGGGCCTCTGACAGTAGCCGCTCATCCCGCGGAACAAAGGCCCGTTGTCAGCCCCACAGACGCGATCCCATGGTCACAGCCCGGAGAGGCCTGCCGTCAGCATCAAAGCGCCCGCACGCGTGTGGAGCAGCACGAGGGCGCGGCCGGGACAAAGGCCGGCTTGTCCTCCGCCGGTTTCCGGCAGGCCCAGCGGGAACGCGGGCGCTAACGGGGCAGCCTCACTGCGGGCAGAACTGGCACCGGCCGGGCTCCTACCAGGGCGCGCGCCTCCCCGTCGCTGTCGCCCAGCAGCCGGCGGATGTTGACCGACTGTCCGAACTCCGTCGTCAGCAGCTTCCTCAGCCTCTGCAGGGCCCACATGCGGTGGCTGGCAGCTGGAGAGCGGACAGACACGGCAGCTCAGCACGGCTCCTCTCACCAGAGGGGACTCACTCACAGACTCGGCGACGAGGACGCCCCTACCTAAGGCGCTGAGCTGCGCGCACGCGGCCAGCGACGCGGCCAGGCGCGGGACGATGCTCCTGTTGGAGGCCAGGTTGAGCCGGAAGTCCAGCAGGCAGGTCACCAGGTCCATGGACGGGCAGGAGAGGACGCAGCGGTCCGAGAGCAGGTCTTTCGGGCCTGGGGGTGAGCACCGAACGTCCCGTAAGGAGACCCTCGTGACCCGCCCGACAGGCAGGCAGACCACGGCACGAGTGTGACGGCCAGGCATCCAGTCTGGGCACCGCGGGGGGCCCCCCACTGGGCATCCCCTCACCAGCGGCCGGCATGATGGGGTAGACGGTGAAGCGCCAGCCCCACCCGTTGACGGACCCGTCGCTGATGAACTTCCACTTGAGCTCGTCCCCGGGGATGCGCAACTCGCTGGACCAGTCGGACCACTCCCGGCCTGCGGGCGGCACCACCAACCTCCTCAGACCGTCACTCACGCAGGGTCTGCAGCGCGAGGGCTCCCGCCCAGGCCCCCAAACCGATGTCCCCACGCCTCCACACAGACTGTGCCGAGTCCTGGGGAAACTGAGCAGCAGCCGGCCTCACGGGAACGCGCATACAGCTGCCACGCCGTGTGAGGCCGGCAGGCTGACCAGGAGCTGCTGACGGGGAGGCCCTGCTGGGCGGGGGAGGACCAGGACGGGACGGGACGGGACGGGGAAGGTTGGGCAGGGCTGCCGTCCTGCCCCAGGTGGGGATGGAGCTGAGAGGACGCTCAGACACCTCCCCTCCCGGGCCTGGCGCCCCCCCGTCGTCCCCCACCTGAGCGCACGGAGACGATCCGGTTGACGCCGTCCATGACGGTGAGGGGGTCGTGGCGCCGCTCCGTGGAGCACTGCCGGTCAAACTCCACCCGGAGGCCCTCCGCACCTGCCAAAGCCCACACACCCGCTGTGACCGAGGCGCCCCCTACAGACGCCAGGCAGGACGCCCACGTGCATGGCTCCCGTCGCGTTCTCTCCGAAGAGGCGGCGGCTTGCAGGAAAGCGAGAAGCGAGCCCCACGCAGTGTTAAAATCCTGTTCTAGAGCCCTGGCCAGCGGCTTGGCTGGCTGGAGCGTCGTCCCCTCCACCAAACGGTGGTGGGTTCGATTCTGGTCAGGGCACAGGCCTAAGCTGCAGGTTCGGGTCCCGGTAGGGATGCACACAGGAGGCAACCACCCACATTTCTCTCACCATTGTGTTTCTCTCCCACCCCCACAAGCCAACTTGAAAATAGCCGTGGGTGAGGATTAAATCGGTCCTCCGCGGCGATGGCCACTCCCAGGACGTCACCAGAGGTGCGGCCAGCGGGGCACGCCCGCCCCACACACACACCTGGGATCTTGACGGTGCCGCTGGAGGAGGTGTCATCCGTGTAGGGGTGGCTGCTCTCCACCACCACGGGCTGCGAGGACAGGCGGCCGCTCTGCGAGTCGGAGGCCACGTCCTCCAGCTCGGTGACGCAGAGCTCCAGCAGCATGTCCGCCACCTGCGGGGAGACGGCGAGGTCGGGAGGCCGCCCGCAGGCCCCTGCTCTCAGGGTACGTCCCGGAGGGCTCAAAAAGACAAACGCCACCCATATAAAGAAAGCGTCACATGCTAATCAGGCCGGAGGACCTTCTGGACGGAGCCGGGCGGCAGGGAAGCCGGGTCCGGCAGCCGGGAAGGAAGGCCTCCTCCTGCACGAATTCCATGCACCGGGCCTCTAGTCAATGGCGCGAGAAAAGCGTCAGAAGTGGGTGCTTTAAACAGCGCCGGGGTCTTCAGGGGCGAACAGCGGCACTGGCCGGCCTGACGCTGTGGGCGAGGAACTGCTCCGTGGCGGACAGACACGCCACGGCCCGGGGGACACGCAGGGCCTGGCTCACGCGGGGTCAGCACAGACACCGCGGAGGGAAGCCCCCGGCCGCCGCGCTCACCTGGGGGTAGGCGGTGCCCATGCCCGACAGCACGGCTGAGAGCACCTCCCGGCCGCGGTCCCCCGCCCGGCCGCACACGGACAGCTTGAGCAGGTCCACCAGCACCCGGGTGTCGTCGGCGACCAGCAGGCTGGTGAACTCGTCCAGGGCCTGAGGCTCGGGGCCCGAGGCCTTGTTCTGGCTCTCCACATCCTGCAAGGCCGACAGGAAAGAGGAGCCACACGTGAGAACGCAGCAGCTCACCGCAAACCCCCGGAGGTAAAGGGGGGCCTCAGGAGGCGATGGGAGGGGATGGGGCACGGAGCAAGGTGTCTGCGGGGTCGCCAGGCACTCCTCTCCCGGCACTGCTGACACAGCGACTGCCCGCAGGGGGAGTCCTGGCAGACACTCCTGAGCAAGTGGTAAGGATTCCCGTCCCAGGTAAGGCTGCCCATCAACACCCCACCCCCCAGGAGCGCAGAGACAGTGCCCTCTGTGAGGACTGACAGACAGCACACCTGGGCCCAGACCTGCACGGCCCCCTGGGACAGGAGCCAGAGGGGCGAGCAGCCTGCAGAGCTGCCCGTGTGCTGCCTCTGCAGCCCCGCGTGCGGTGAACACGCTTTCAAACAGACGGCAGGAAGCCCCTGACCTCTCTGGCTTTGGTCATGGTTTCCGCGATGATGCTGGCGGCGCCCGGGTCGTCTGTCACCGGAATGAAGGGCCGAGAGGAAGCGGAGGAGGCAGACGGGGTCACGGCGGCAGGGGTCCCAGCATCCTCAGAGGAGATCATCTGGTTTCAAAACCGAGGAGGAGAACTCAGCAATGTGCTCACTTCCTCCAAAGCCTCCCCCAAAAGCCCTCTGGCCGCCTGAATGCCTGGGGCTGCAGCCACATGTCTGTGGGGACAGGCCTCCCCCTTCTCCCCTCGGCAGGGGCTGGCAGCGCACCCGGCTCCCCTGCTCCCAGGGCACCTGGTGACACCGGGCAGGTCGCAGGGAGAGACTAAAAGGAGCTCGCTTCTCTTCAAGCTGCAGGTAGCCCCCACGTAAGTCACAAAACGTTTAGATTTTTAAGAGGCATAAGGTTTCGTAATTGCAGACAAAAGACTATGGACTTGCAGCTAGCATCTTTTTAAGTTAATAAGTTCCACTTAATGCTTAAAAGAAGCCTCCTTTTAAGAAGAGCATTTTCTAACTCGAGCCCAAAAGGCAGAAAGGAAGCCGGAACGAAGTGGGACAGTGACCTGGCCCCTCCTGCCCGCCCTGCCCCTGATGAGGTCACTTCACTCGCCTCCCCTCGCTTCTCCTGCCAGGGGCTGGGGCTCGGTCTGTCCTCGGAGTCAGCAGCCAGTAAGCACGCCTCTCCGCTCAGGGGACTGGCCGAGGCGGACGCCTCGGAAGGGGGTGCCGAGGAGGAGAAGGAGGGGCACTCCGGAGCGATCATGCTGGCCGGCATCAGGGCCCCCACCACGGCGTCTCTGTCAGGAGGGAGGGGCCTGGTGAAGGACAGCAGCAGGAGGCAGGCAGGCACAGTGCCCACGGTAACAAGTTTCGGAAAAACACGGAGCGTTATCACAACGTACCCCTGCCTGGAAGCTAAAACAGTTGCTCCTGAGCCTACGTGTTCGAACACCCACCGTGGCAACGAAAAACTGCCGAGTACAAATGCCACGGCAGAGCGAGCCCTGGGCCCCCTGGGAACCTGATGGCCCTGTCAGAGCCCACGGGGTTCTGTGGAAGCTGCAGGCAGGGCGGCTCCAGGACCAGCAGCAGGCCCCACGTCCTCTCAGGCCTGCACGGCCTCCGCCTGCACCTGCCGCTCCTGAGGCGCACCCCTCCACGCCCCGGCCCCTCGCCATGGCCACCGGGAGGCTAGGCAACAGCTGTGCAAGGCTGGAGAACAACACTTATCCGATTCTGCCCTGGGGAGGGTCTGAGCGAGGAGAGGGGTCTGAAACACTGCTGAGCATCAGCGCCAACGACGCTTCCTCCGCCCCCCAGGTCATGCTCAGAGCTCTCTGGCCACAGAGAGGAACACGCTGCCTCTGCCTGGCTTTCTGACTCCTGTTTCAAGTACCGACGGGTACGGGACCGAAACGGATCTAAAGACAACACACCAGAGTCTGAAACATCCGATCCATCAAAAAGCCACACAGACTCAACGTTACTGCCGGCGGGCTTTCACAGCCAGCACACCGGCTCACCTGGCGTACGTGATCTGCAAGGCGTTGAGCACGTGAGACAAAGCCTGCTGCTTGGCCAGGTTCCCGTCCAGGGACAGGAGGGTCTTGGCGAGGGAGGGGCGGCCAGGCTTCGAGCTGCCCGCCCCACTGAGCTTGTTGCTGGCAGCAGAAGACTCGGCATCAGAAGGCACACCTGGAGAGAGAAGGAATGTTTGCGCTTGATTTTTTTTTTTAAAGATCACGTCTTGTTCTGTTTCTGCAATCCAACCTTCCAGTTTAGTTCCGGAACACGTTGCAATATGCATTTTGCCGTTTCACAGATGTGCACCTGTGGCTTTGGTGCAGAAGGGATGCCCCCAGACCTCTGACCCGGGCACGAGGGACCTCCCAGGAGGACCGGCACCGAGCAGTCAGCTACCTAGATAGGAGGCGCCCAGCGGGTCCCTCGCCGTCTGGAACAGCACGGGCTCATGCACGGAGGGCGTGGCCACGTCGACCGTCGTCCAGGCCACGCTGTGCGAGGACCCGCAGGCTACGCGTGTGACCTTCTGGCCCTCCAGGCCCTGCACCAGGGTGGGCTTCCTGTTGACGGTGGTCGTGCCGTTGCCCTGCTGGCCGTGGTCGTTGTCGCCCCAGGCGTAGACCTGTGCGGCAGGAAAAACCCAGGCTCCGTTTCAGACCTTCCTTTAAGCGCCTTTGCCATCCTCGCCCGACTGTGAGCTCCCCCTGGGCCCCGGGCTCCCACGCCCCCGCTCACCTGCCCCGCGTCCGTGACCGCCAGGCAGTGCAGGGCGCCGACGGCCACGTGCACGATCTTCTTCCCGCGCAGCCCCTCCACCACCTGCGGCTTCCGCACGTGCACGTCCGAGCCGTGGCCCAGCCGGAAGTAGTCGCCCTTGCCCCTGCGGAGGCCACGTGCGTGTGAGTGCACGTCAGCCGTGGACCGAAGGGTCGCGGGTTCGATTCCGGTCAAGGGCACCTGCCTCGGGTGTGGGCTGGGTTTCCAGCCCCCGTCGGGGCTTGTGCGGGAGGCAACCCGTTGATGAACTGATGTCCCTCTCACATCGATGTTTCTCTCCCCCTCCCCCCCATCCTCCCTTAAAAAAATCAATGGAGAAAAAAAATATCCCTGGGTAAGGATTCACCCAAAAACCACCCAAAACCAAACCGGTGGCTGCAGCAGTCACAGCCTGGAACAGCCCACAGGGAAGCTCCTGGCTAGGGCACTGGAGCGGCTCCAGGCAAGGCCACCTGAGCCGTGAGCGTAAATCCTGCCCATAGGCCCCCTGTGCTGTCCCAGCTCCGGCGACTGCGGGACCGGCGTCCGAGCCCGCGGCCCACGTGGACCCGGGGGATGGAGATGTGCAGTGAGAGGCCCGCACGGCGGGGTCAGGACAGGCGGCACCTACCACGTCCACACCACGCCCGACTTGGTGAGCGCCAGGGAGAACTGGGCGCCGCACTCGATCTGGCACACGCCCTGGCCGTTGAGCCGCTCGATGTTCTGGGGGACGTTGCAGCCCTCGCTTCCTCCCCGGCCCAGCTTCCCGAAGTCGCCGTCGCCCCAGGAGAACACCAGGCCTGGGGGAGGGAGAGCCTTCAGCCGGGTCCCGGGGCCCCACCCCGGGCCGGAGCGCGGCCGGCTCACCTTCGTCCGTCAGAGCCAGGGTCTGCGCGTCGCGGCTCCCGCAGGCGACCTGGATCACTCTGTGGCCCAGGAGCACTTTCACCTGCGCGGCCACAGGGGACAGAGTCACGCCGGCTCTGGGTCAGCGGGGAGACCGTCCGGGCCCAAGGCCCGAGGCCCGCTTAGGGGTGCTCACCATCTTGGGCTTCAGCTGCGTCGTGTTGTCCCCGTGCCCCAGCCGGCCGTACTCCCCGAGGCCCCAGGTGTAGAGCTCGCCGCTGGAGGTGAGGGCGGCGCTGTGGGAGCTCCCGCAGGCGATGTCCCGGACACGCTTGGTCTTCAGGGCCTCGATCAGCCGCGGCTTGTCACAGTTCCTGGAGCAGAGGAGCAACGGGCCCTGACCGACCGGCTTGTGCGTAAAGAGGAAAAAAGCAGCCCTGGCAGGTATGGCTCGGGGGATAGAGCGTCGGCCTGCGGCCTGTAGGCCGCCGGTTCCATTCCTGGTCCGGGCACCTGCCCGGGGTGAGGGCTCGATGCCCAGCAGGGAGCGTGCAGGGGGCAGCTGATCCATGACGCTCTCTCCTCAGGGGTGTTCCTCTTCCTCCCTCTCCCTTCCTCTCTGAAACCGATAGAGACGTTAAAAAAAAAAAAAAAAAAAAAGAAAAAGAAAGAAAGAGGACATCTACACAGATCCACACGGATAGAGACACGTAACAGGACCAGCCTTTAACACGGAACGGGAGGCGAAGGCACGCTCCCAGCTGCTGCCGAGGCAGCTTCCCCAGCACCGCGCGCCAAGTGCTGGTGACAGGCTGTGCGGCAGGCAGGGAAGGGCCTTACATGCGGCTGAAGTGGCCCAGCTTGCCGTCGTCCCCTTCGCCCCAGGAGAACACCTTCCCGTCCACCGTCAGGGCCGTGGCGTGCCGGCCGCCTGCAATCACACAGTGTGAGCACTCAGGCCGTGGGTAACCACCACCCGTTCGCTCTGCCCGGCGTGCAGCACGCATACATCTCAGGGAACAAACGGCAGGAGCGGACTTTCTCTTCCCGCTGGGGCTCGAACAGCGACAGGCCCCCCCCCCCCCCCCCCCCCGGCGAGTGCATGGGGGTTGGGGAGGCGCTGGGACGCCGAGCAGGGGTGGGCACGGGAGGCCGCTCAGAGAGGTACCTGAGTGCACGGCCACCTTCTTGACCACATAGCTGCTGAGCGCCGGGACCTGCCGGGGGATGGGCACAGTGCCGCTGGACATGCCCAGCCCCAGCCGGCCGTTGGTGGCCTCGCCGCAGGCGTACACCTTGCCCTCCACGGTCACTGCGGGCAGAGGGGCGGGCTCAGCTCGGAGCCACAGCGGGGCTCTCGGCGGGAGCACAGGGGCCATCTTCCGTGGGGAGGCAGCGTACCTGCAAACAGACTCTTCGAGCCGCCCGCCACCTGCACGACGTTCAGAGCCGACAGCGTCTCCGAGAACGAAGGGACCTTTATCTGGGACGGGACGTTTTAGCAAAACAGACAAGACAGTTTTACCTGTACCTTTAAGACGACCACTAACGTAGCAGACGCACAGGGAGTCATGCGGTTGGCATGACGATGCCGATGAGGTCACTTCTCTGGGCACCCGGGGCCCGAGGCTGGCCGGTGTGTGGAGGGTCATCCCCTCCCCCCCCCCGGCAGCTCCGGGCACAGGTACCTTGGAGCCCTTGAGGCCGCCCAGCTGGTCCTTGTCGTTGAGGCCCCACACGAACACCTTGGTTCTGATGGTGGCCGCCGACTCCAGGCCCGCAGCCTTCTTCCTGACGAGGCTGCGGAGGAAGAGGCTGGTCAGATGAAGGAACCGCGGCCTGACACCGTGAGCCTCGAGGGGCGGCAGCGGATCGACGTTTCTCCTCACACTGACATCCCTCTCTGCCTCTCTCCCTCGCTCCCTCTCTTAAGTCAACGTGGTAAATCTTATGTACAGTTTATAACTTTAAAACGCTCCATTTAAAAGCAAACAAATACTCGGCAAAGCGAGCTCAGATACTCCCCATGCCTCGCCACACCCACAGGAAGCGGGTAGAGAACCACAGGACATGCCCCAGGGTTACAGACACGCGCATTCCTACGCCCAGCCGGTCCCTGAGCTGGGACATGGCCGCGCTCACCTCCCGGCGCCGCCCTTCTCGTCCTCCTCCTCCTCACTGTCCGAGGCGAGGAAGGGCGCGGCGGCCCAGTCCTCCTCCTCGGCGCGCACGCGCCCCAGCAGCACGAGGCCGTGGATCTTGCAGTCGATGCCCGAGCTCCGGCACTGCTTGATGGCGATCTCGATGTGCCTGTGGTACTGGACAGGCCCGGGCGCTGAGACCGGCCACGCCCTCCCCGCGGACGCGTCTAAGGTGCGTCCGGTCCCTGCGACCCGGAGACCCCGGCCGGGGACTCTGCCTGCCTCACAGACACGAGGGGCCACGAGTCCGCTGCGAGGCCAGCCAGCCTCTGCCTTCTGAGGCTCCAGTCGGGACTGCCCACCACCGGAGGGACAGAGAGCCCAGGACCCCTCCCCTCGCGGAGCCATCGCCCTGCGCTGGGACCCCGTGGCCGCAGGAGACCGTGCTCGGAGGAGAGCGCCCACGGCGGGAGCCTCGGGCGCCAGGCCGCTTCCCACCGCGGCGAGGAGGACAGGGGACGCAGACGGGCCCGCCTGCACTCACCTCGGTGCAGTCACTCAGCAGGGACACCGTGGTGTCGGTGGGGCTGATGTTGATGGTCTTTAGCTCGATGAGGTTGTTCAGGGAGTTCCCGCCTGGGACAGAGGAGGGAGATGGAGCGTCAGACCAGGAGATCTCGTTCCCGGCGGAGGGCACTTGCGCCAACGCCCTTGGCTACCTGACACCACGACCAGGGAGGGCATGTAGCTGCTGTCTGCGGGGTCGACAGTCATCTTCAGTCTGTGAACCAGGACGTCGGGGAAGATCTCCAAGCGGATCCAGTGCTTGAACAAAAAGCACCCCGTCAGTAAGGTCCAGCTCCACTTCAGCTGCTCAGGCCCCACCAGGAAAGCTGCATCTGCACGGGACTGTGCCCCCACCGTGTGGCCTGAGATGGCCTCTCCTCGGAGCTCTGAGCAGAAACGGGAAGGCCTGACCTGGGGTCCCTCACAGCCGTCACACGTGGCCACAGAAAACACGAGTCCAGCGGGGAGAGAGCCCGTGCTCCACGTCTGTCCCACCCGGGCGCGAACCGGCGGGCCGGGGAAGCGCCAGTGAGGCATCGGACAGGGTCGGGGCCGCCTACCTTGCCCTGGGACCCCGAGGACTGCCAGCAGGGCTCGCGGCCGTCGATGAGCCGCGAGGCCTGGTTCACGGAGGAGGACACGTGCAGGCTCTTCACCATGCGGGACCAGCTGTCCAGCAGCGCGCCCGGCTGGCTGCTGGGGCACCGCTTCAGCTGCTTTCCGGAGCGGCCGCAAAAGACGGCCGACTGTCCTGCGGGCGCGGCGAGCGTCAGAGCGTGCCGCGCCGGGAAGCCAAGGCCGGCACAGGTGAGGAGCTTCCTCCTGTGCGCACACACTGCAGGAGCAGGCGCACAGGGCACAGCGGCGCCCTCCCGCCCCGCTCCAGCTGGCCCCCTCACCGGGCTCGTTGATCCGGCCGAACGTGTGCCTGGGGCTGTGCCTCCGGGCCTTGAAGCACGCCTCACAGAAGTCAAAGTCCTCGCAGTTCCTGCACTTGAACCTGGGCCCGTGGATGGGGAACGCCTGGCAGCCGTCACACCTGCTTGGGGAGGGGAGGTCACACGCTGCCTTTGCTCCCACGGGCGCCAGCCCCCGGACCCGCGGCCGACAGGCACTCACGTGACGCCGGGGTGCACGCTGGGCACCAGCTCCATCTCGGAGAGCAGCCCGGTCCAGTGGGACTGCTGCGGGAAGTCCACGATGACGTCCTTCCCGTTGGCGCTGAAGGCTGCGGACAGACACGCCTGGTGGCTGCCCCGAGCGGAGGCCCCGTCGCGTGCGCCGTGCTGGGCGGCACGGAGGCCGCACACGGACAGGCCGGGACCAGCTCCTGGCGCGCCAGGGTCCCCGCACATGGAGGGCGGGGCTCCCCGAGGCGAGGAAACGGCTCCGTGGCCGAGGAAGCGAGCGTTACCTTTGACGACGCCGACGCTCTGGTGCGTCACCGAGCCCCACTTGTACTTGGGGGTGGTCACGGCGGCCTTGACCCGCACCTTGTCCCCGATCTTGATGTGGGCGGGGAAGCTGGGGGGCGGGTAGCCTGGAGTTGTGGGGAGGAGCTGAGGTGAGCGGGCGGGCGGGCGGGCGGGGCGGGCGGGCGGCGGGGCACGGGCAGGCGGCTCACCCAGCAGCTCCACATGGATGTACCGCACCCAGTAGGTGCCCCCTTTGTGCTGCCAGTCGCTCTGCACGTTGAGGTCGTGCAGCCCGTCGCGGTCCAGCTTGACGACCTTGCCCACGTCGCCCTCGCGCACCTCCTCGTAGGTGCGGCAGCACCGCACCATCATGCCCACCTCCAGGGACAGACCCCCGCGGGAGTCAGCGGTGAGGGCCGCGAGGCGGCCAGCGAGCAGTCCCCGCCCGGAACGGCTCCCCCCCACGGAGCGGGGGCGAGCGGCTGGGCGGCCACACAAAGGGGCGCCCCGACCAGAGGAACGAGAGCCGGCACACCACGCCCCGACACGCGTGTCAGCTCTCGCTCAGGACACCAGCACGTCCCTCCCTTTCCTCTGACCCGTGACGGAGCGACCGCTGCCGCGGCAGCTCCACCCTGAGCAGAGCTGGGCCCCCGGGGTCGGTGCTGGCCCGGCGGCCACCAGAGACCAACAGGCAGGGGTCCGAGCGGGCGGTGCCGGCCGACCTCTCCCCCCACCTGGGGCTCGGCCTCCCCCTCCCCGTGGCCGACCTCTTCCCCCACCCGGGGCTCAGCTCCCCCCTCCCCCAGGCCGACCCCCCCCCCCCGCCCGGGGCTCAGCGCCCCCCCACCCCGGCTGACCTCCCCCCCCCCGCCCGGGGCTGACCTCTCCCCCCACCCGGGGCTCAGCTCCCCCCTCCCCCTGGCCGACCTCTCCCCCCCGCCCGGGGCTCAGCCCCCCCCCCCCCGCCCGGGGCTCCCCCACCACCCGGGCTCGGCGGCCTCACCTGGATGTTCTCCCGCACGTACACGGCGTAGTCGTCGTTGCTCAGGAAGTCCGCCCGCTTCTTGTACGTCTGGCTCTCCGTCACCACGGCGCCGGAGGACTGCAAGGCCAACACGCTTTAGACGCGGCCGCACAGGCGGAGCGGAGAGGCGCCGTGTGAGACCCTCGCTAGGAAGACCCAGTGGGCACAGCCACCGGTTCCCCACAGCAACTCATCTGGGGGCATAAAAGGCCTCGCTCGGAAAGACGGGGGACCCCTGAGCCCCGAGAGCCAGACCCGCGTCCGAGAGACCAGCACCCGCTCCGGGCGGGGCCTGTCGGAGCTGGAGCACAGATACCTCCCCATCCCCACGGAACCATTGGCTCAGGGCAGAGGTCAGGCGACAGGCACACAGGTCCCTCCGAGCGCCACCCGCTGTGGCCGGCACCCCAGGTGTGGGGCAGGGTCTGCTCGCTGAGCCGCAGGAGGTCCTGCCAGCCTGGCGTCCTTGGAGCCCGGCAGAGCCTGGGGCTGGCACAGGCGGGCACGGGGGAGGGGGCACTGACCAGGGCGCAGGCCGTGTCGTCCAGGTCCTCCAGCAGCTCCTCCTCGGAGCCGTCCTCAGACCCCGTGTCTGGGTCCGAGAGGTCCGTGCCCGGCACGTCGGCGTGGTCCAGCAGCCACCCGACCAGGGCCTCCACGCCTGCAAGCACACCCCATGAGCGTGGTGCCCGCTCGGCCGCGCCCAGGTGCCGGAGGGCCGCGCACACACCTGGCAGGCCGGCGGCGTTGCCCGCGGCGCCCGCGAGCGCCTTCAGCGCCAGCTCGATGTTCCTCCGCGGGAAGCCCATCTCCATGAGCTGCACCACGATGGGCAGGGCGGGCACGGGCGACTGCCTGCGCCTCCGGGCTCGGACGGGGCGCAAGTGCGGGGCGGGCACTGGCGTGCTGGCCTCGCTGGAGCTGCCGTCCTCGAACGCCGGGCTGGACGGGTGGGCGCACTCCACGGCCAGGTACTGGCACACGGCCAGGGCGGCGGCCTGCGGGGGCGGGCCGGGTGTCAGAGCCGCGGGAGGCGGCGGCGCTCAGGGCGGCGGTGCGGGGGGCGGGCCGAGCTCCCCCAGCACCTCGAGCTCCTGCCGGGCGAAGACGGCCTTCACGGGGGACGGCTGGGTGGCCGCGGCCAGCAGCTGCTGCAGCAGGGTCATCGGGGGCTGCGGGCCCTCGGGGGACATGTCCCCCGGGTCCGGGGACGCGGCTGTGCTGTCGTCTGCGTGGAAACGGACCACGCCCGACGTTACATGTCGTGCCTGAGCGCGTGAACTGACCGATGCCCACCACACCTTCAGGCTCAGAGCCCAGATCCATCTCCCCCACCACCTACCTGCCTGCGCAGCGGCCTCCTGCACGGCGGGCTGGGCCAGCGTCTGCCGGAGCTGGTCCTGGTGGGGCAGCAGCGCGCGGCCCGCCTTCAGCACGTACAGCTTCAGCTGCTGGCGCCGCAGCAGGCCCAGGTCCACCGGGCCTGCGGGAGGGGGGGTCAGGGGCGCGACGGGGCCAGTGCCGAGGGACGGAGGACCCTGGCGCCTCTCGGGCATGGAGCCTGACCACCACAGATGGGCTCCCTCATGGTGACGGCAGAGTAGGCGACTATGGACGTGTGTGGTGGACAGGCACGTGCCCCAGCCAGCGCTGTGAGGTGGAGACTCAGCGGAGACGCTGGCCCGGAAGCAGGCAGGCCACACCCGGTGCCGAGGCCCTCCTGTGCCCACCCCCCTCAGCAGCTGCCCCCGGCCACGCCCACGGTAACTCCACAGGGTCCATCCGCAGGAGCCCTCAGATGACAGTACACTCACCGGCGAAGCCCTGCTTGGGCGACTTCTTTATCTTATGCTTCTCCAGCCTGCTCCCCGCGAGGTTCACCAGCTGGGCCCAGACGGCGAGCATGGGCTCTGTGAAGGGCAGGCTGGTGATGCTGAAGGGCACGGCGGGGAGCTGGGGAGAGAGCACACCCTCACCAGGGGGCCCGGACAACAGGTGTAAGCTGTCCCGGAAGTTACAACCACGGGGCTAGTTCTGAAAGACCGCACGTATCCACGGTCCTTCGACTGAAAATATTTTTATACAATGATGGGAAAGCCCTGGCCGGTTTGGTTCAGTGGACGGTGTCGGCCTGTGGACTGAAGGGTCCTGGGCTCAATCTCCAGTGTGGGGCGTGCAGGAGGCAACTGATCCATGATTCTCTCCAATCACGGATGTTTCTATCTCCCTCTCCCTTCCTTTCTGAAATAAACGAACATATGTTTTAAAAGTCTCATACGTATACAGCAGATACGCCCTAACTCTTCCCTTGTCACCTGTCAGCAGTGACTCCGAGCCCCTCCTGTGCCCGGTAAGTGCTGTCCTGTGGGTGTTCCCACACGGCAGTTACAGTACGGACACCTCCCTGTCCCCGTCCCACACAGAGGTCTCTGGCTGCTGCACAGCCTGTCCCCACGCCCGCAGGAAGCAGCCTCGGTGAGGAGCCCTCCCCGCACCCGCGAGGCTGAGAGGGGGAGCTGCTGGCCGCCCCGCGCAGAGCGATGCCTGAGACCAGAGCCCGCGCCGGCTCGGAGCCCCTCAGCACGGCCAGACCCGCGGTGCCTACCGGCTTCAGCTGGCTCAGCGGGCAGACGCGGCTCGCCCGCGTGTCCGAGAACTGCACGGTGATCCTGCCCTTGGGCGTGATGCGCGTCACGGTGCCCTCCCCGAACTCCTCGTGCGCAACCTGGCCCCCCAGGCGCAGGCGGCTGTCGATGCCCCCGATGACGGCCAGCACGGCCATGAGGCCGCCCACCTCGGGGCCGTCCGCCTCGGGGAGGCGGTCCTCCAGCAGGGCCTGTGCGGACAGACAGACAGACAGACAGCACGCTGACGACGGCCAGGGAGCGAGCCGCCTGCGCCCACCGTTCTCGCCTGTCCTTCCCCGACTCCCTCACTGCCCCCGGTCACGTAACACACGCAGCATCTTAAAGAACCGCCGCACGGGCGGGTGAAGAGGGTCCGGGCTGCACCCACCCCGCCGGCAGGCGCGGGCCCGCAGCTGCGCGACACGGCCTGCAGCTGCGCGCTGATGTGCTTGTTGATGAGGCCGTTCCACTGGGCCAGCGAGTGCAGCGTGCGTAGCAGGGCCACCGCCTCCTCCGCCAGCGTGCTGCTGTGCGTGGCCGTCAGCGAGGCCTGCGGCCGGGCCCTGCGCCTCCGCAGCGTGGACTCTGAAAGCAGCACAGGACAGGGCTAGTGGCCGCCCGCACCAGCCGGCCCAGGACGGGAGCACGTGGCCGCCCGCACCAGCCAGGCCCAGGACAGGAGCCCACCTCTGAGGAACGGGATGTCCGAGGAGCAGGTGGTGAGCAGGCTGCCCAGGAACCCGAAGAGCTTCTCCACCAGCCCCTCCATGTCCTCCGCCCGCTCGGCCTTGTCCCACGAGGGCAGCACCGCCTGCAGGAGGTGCAGGGCCAGGATCTGCGTGGGGGTCAGAGGCCGAGTTAGAGACGGTGCTACCGGACTCACAGAGGTGAGTTTATTTCCTCTTCGCCGTCTGTCCCTGTGGCAGAACGAACCACGCCAAGGTTCACCCCGCGTTGACGAATGCTGCGAGGACCACGGTTAAACAGACCATGTGACCGAGGCAGGCACTCGATCAGGTAGAAGACTCCTCCAGCCCCATGAGCTCACGTCTCGGCCCCGGCTTCAGACCGACCCGGGCCCTTCCGGTGGTGCCAGGGCTGCGGCGCCGGACCGCCGTGCACACCACCCAGCCTCAGGTTCACCCTGCTGCGCCAGGCCCGACGCCCACGTACCTGGCGCTGCAGCGAGGCGGCGGTGAAGGGCGCGTGTCCCTCGACGACCCGCATGAGCAGGGCGATCCAGGGCGGGGAGCTGAGCGCCGCGCACATGTGGGGCGTGAGCGCGATGCTGCGCACAAAGCCCAGCGAGCACCAGCCGCGGTGCTGCTCCCGGCACACGGCGCCGTGGGGGGAGGCTGCGGGGACACGACAGACTGCTCGCCGCTCCCAGGCACTCGGCTGCCAACCTGCCTACCGTGCTTTCCAACAACGAGCCGCTTGGCAAAGACGCTGCCGGTGCACGCACTCACACGCAAACTCACACACTCACACGTGTGCACACACGTGTACTCAAACTCACACACCACGGCCCTCAACCACCCGCCGACGCCGCACCAGCCCTGCCTGCGTCCCTGTACATACGTGTCGTGTCCGAGGTCCCGCTCTCCACCACCACGCGCAGCAGCCCGCACAGCGTCCTGATGGCCTCGCCCTGCATGACCTCGGCGTGGACCCCGGCTGAGAGACAGAGGGTCTGCAGCAGGTTCACGGTGCTGGTCAGCATCATGGCCGTGGGGTGCATGTGCCGGCCGGCCGGCTCAGCTTCTGGAAACAAACCGCCCAGATCGGGAAGTCGCCTGGGTGGTGCCACGCCCCGGTTCGGCTCCTCGGAAGGGCCGCTCGCTCTGCAGGAAGAGGAGCGCCTCCTGTGCAGCCGTGACCCAGCCACCGCCTTCCGCAGGGAAGTTAACTCCGCCTCCGCAGACAGCGCAGCGCCGAGACGCTGCCCACACGCCCCACGCCGGCTGTGAGGCAGGAAGGCCTGCTCCCGGGGGCCAGGGCTCTGGGACGAGAGGCCCGGACGGCCACCTTCCCCTCCTGGGGAAGCCCCGGGAGCTGGGGGAGCAGGCCGGACACTGCAGAGCCCTCTGCTCCCTCCGACCACAAGAGTCCCTCGGAGACCGACCCCTGCACACGCTCTGGCACCTGAGCTGCCCCAAGGGCCGCCCCCAGGGCCGCACTCACCCGAGTCGTCCTCCGTGTCCGAGTCCTCGGCCGAGGGCTGCGCGGAGGTGGGCAGCTCCGCCAGCTTGAGGTCGTACTTGCCCTCCTTGCCCATCCGGTAGGAGTTGGTGCTGCCCGTGTCCCACTGCACCCGGATCCACCCGTCCTCGCCCAGCTCCCCGATCACACGGCCGAGGCCGGGAGGGGGTCCGTCCTGGGGGCCACAGAGAAAGACCAGTGAGGGGCGCCTGCGGCCTGTCCCATGGACACCGCTGGGAGGGCGGCCACGTCCCTGCAGACTCCTGGCCGTGGCAGCTCCGCCCTGGCTGGCCACCCCCGGGAGCCAGAACCTGGCCTCCTCTGAGCAGACCTCCTCGCAGCCGCCTGAGAGAGGGGTCCCTACACAGGACACGTCCTCCCCTCGCTCAGCACCACGGACAGCTGCCACCCGCCGGGCACCCTGCTCCCCTCGCACCTGGTCGCCCCACTTCCAGTCCACGCCCCGCATGACCCTGGTCCCGATCTTCATCATGGCGGCCAGCTCGGGCCCGGAGACCGGGAGCTGCGTGGGCGCCGTCTCCTTCCTCGTCTCCTCCAGGACGGTGGCGGAGGCGCCGCGGGCGGACGCGTTCCCGTCGTCCTCCCCGTGGTCGCCGCTGGGGCCTGCGGGGCAGAGGCAGCCCGTCAGCCCTGCCGTTTCCTCCTCGCCGCCCACTCCCGACGCTGACAAACACGAAGGCGGGCACTGCAGGCTCCACGGGGACCGGGGCACGCACTGAGCACGACCAGGGACAGACGGGTGAGGGCGTGTGCTGGGGTGGGAGCGGCCGGGGGAGAGGAGACGCGTAATACTTCAAACAAGAAAGAACCCACGGTGAGCCGTGTACACTTTGCCGCTCCGTGTGGAACTCTCTAGAACAGCCTGGCTGCTTGCTAAGAGAGAGTTGGGGCACGAAGGACAGACGGCCGCAGGGCTCCGGAGTTGGCCACGTACGTCCAGGAGCCGAGAGTTGGGGAGAAGCAACGCTCCCAGGACTTTAAAGCAGCAAGTCCCCCCCAGGAGGGCAGCCGGCCCCTGACGCCTGTGTCCTCGCTGGCTATGAAGGGAGGGGGGGACGTTGGGATAAAGAGGGGACACAACTAAAACCATAGCGGCCCTCGCCTCAGACACACAGGATGGGCCTGGCCTCCAGGGGGAGGCCTGAGCATCTGTGGCCAAAGGGTCCTGACCAGGTGCCAAGACCCCGAGGGGCCTCACCTTTCCTCCTGTTGGGGCTACCACAAGCTAACGGACGGGGGTGAGACACCCAGCCGACCCACCGATGAGCCGTAGCGCGGTCTGCGCCAGGGCGAGCGTGCCGGCGTTGAGCAGCAGGGTGAGGCTGTGCGGACCGTGCTGCAGGGTCAGCATGCCGAGCATGGCCAGGAGGAAGCGCGCGTGGGGCGTCGTGCCCAGGCTGGGCCCCGCCGGGTTCTCGTTGGTGACGGTCGGCAGCGGCACGGGCTGGACCCCTGGAAGGCACAGGCGCGGCCTCAGCGGCTCGTGCGCGGATACGAGGACACACCGACACAGAAAGCGCTCGCGATTTTATAGAACCACGTTTTCCAGGCGGGAGAGGGCAATGGCGGGAAGGGACGGACTACAACGTCCAACAATAAAGACGGGGGAAAAGAGTCTGCTCTCCCGTGGACGCAGAGCCCGTGCTTCCGTCACAGCCCTGCCACCTGGCCCCGCAGCCACCCCACCCGCCACAGAGCGCACGGCACCCCCTCAGCGGGAACAGGCGCCCCCACAGCGAGTCCTGGCCCCTCGCAGGCACAAGACGCCCCCCAGCACACGCTCTGGGGTGGACGGTGGCAGCGACACGCACGGGAAGCTGTGAGGACGCTACAAGACCGTCCTCTGCCCGATTCTGGAAGTTCTGATTCGCATCTGGAAGCATGCAGCAGCTGAGATCACCACCCTAATGCGCCAAGGGACTGAGGTCTGCCCCAGAGCAAACATGGGCACCTGCAAGTTCCCACTACCCCGCAGCGAGGAGCCCCATCATGCCACCTGCTCAGGTGGCCACTGGGTCACTCCTGCAGCAATTTCAATGCGGCCTGTGAGCCAGCAGTTCTCTCAGACTCACCGAGCTCTTTGAACTTGGCATTTGCGTCCATCAGGATGTTGCGGATGTTCTGAACAGCCCAGGCGTACAGCTTGCCGAACGTGACTTCCAGCAGCATCCGGTTAAAGGGTGGGATCAGGTCCACGTCCTTCAGGCAGTCCGTGAGAGGCTCCCTTACACACAGAGAGGGTGTGCGTGGAGGCCTGCCAGGCCTCACCCTGAGCAGAGCAGGTGCCGCCCCGCGCCCCGCGCCCCCCAAAGAGGACGGACGATGCGGCGGTCGGTACCCCAGGTCGACGCCCTCGGGGATGAGCCGCTGCCACCCGCAGAACACGGCGTACTGCACCGACGGGAGCAGGGAGCTCTTGGCCGCCAGCTTTAGGATGGCGTCGATCCCCTCCAGGCGGACCTCTGCCCTCTCCAGCTGTAAGACACCGGGCCCCCGTGAGAGTCTCCAGCCCCGGGCGCGGCTGGGGAGGGCGCTCCCTGCAGGATGCTACCTGTTTCAGCAGGCACTTCCTCATCTTCTCCACATCCACGGGCTCCTCCCTGAGGGCGAACTCGGCGATGGTGCCCAGCAGAGCCGACTGCGGGGCGAGGCCCTGCACGCTCTGCTTCAGCCACTTGTACCTGTGAACGCCCGTGACCGTGCTCAGGAGCGGCTGCCACTTGTCCTGCAAAGAAACGCGGGCGCGTGGGTCCCGCCGCCGCCGTCACCCTGCGCTAACGCCGCGCCTCCGGCACAGGCAGGCACAGGAGCCACAGGCCTGCGGGGTGACGTACCCGGGCCACACCCAGGCTTGTCGGGGAGTTCTAAGCCTCCACACTCAGGCACTGAGCAAAGAGGCAACTTGCACACAGAGGAACGGCCACCCACATGAATGGGACCAGGACAGGGAAGCCAAGGAAACATTCAATGAGCGAGCGAGCGAGCGAGTGAATGAGCGAGCGAGGATGAACGATGACACAATGTGCTCTAAAGGAAAAGGAAAACCTTGACGGGGTGTCTCAGGCGACTGGACGTCATCCCATTGACCAAGAGATCATGGGTTCAATTCCCAGTCAGGGCACAAGCCTGGGTGTGGCACGGACTGATGTACCTCTCACATCGAGCTTTCTCTCTCTCTCAAATCCATGAAAGCCCTCGATAAGGATTCTTATAAAGGAAAAAGAAGCACTTCCCCAGGGCACCACTAGGCGGCGGCGCCCACACCCTCACCAGCCGTGCAGGGGGGGGGGGGGGGCCTCCCTCGCAGCCCCGAGTCCCGGCTACGCCTCACCTTGGGGGCTCTAGCGGCAAGGGGTCTTTTGTCCACGTGGACGGGACTGGGAGGCAACAGGCAAGCTTCTTCCAAGTCGCTCTCTTCGTTTCCGATTTTCCCTTCGTCATCAGTAGGTTCTGGCTTCTTAGGGACTATGGTGAAGGCATCGTTTGTTAGAAAAACTATTTACTTACATGCGGTTTTAGATTCAGAAGTCTTCAACTTACGTAAAGGAAAAGGACACGTTTTAACGTTCACTGTGAACTGAAAAGTTCAAACGACAGAAGCACCACAAACACTTGCACTGTGAGGACACTGGGCCGCCTGGTTGTGGAAGAATCGGGGAGAAAGAGGAGTCCCAGGGGTCGGGTGGAGGGTGGAGTGCCACAGAGAAGGAAGGGGAGTCCCAGGGTGGCCAGCTCTCCTGACGGTCCAATGGCGACCCTCAGCCTTCGAGGCACCGGCCTCTGGGAAACAGGCCTGAGGGTGCAGGAGCAACGGCGACCTCTGTTCACGAGGCTGCCGCTTAAACTGAGGCCACGTCATGTGTGGAGCCAAGGCTCCCTCTGACGTAAAGACGGGCATTTCCAAAGGCAGACTCCAGCCTGAGCTCACGGACCAGGAAGCAGGACTGGACCAAGAACCATGAGCGCACGTGGGGCACTGGGGCTGGGGTCAAAGGTCATGCAGAGCACACAGGGGCCACAGGGTCAACCCATCCTTGACACAATCCCCCAGGCAGCCCCTTCCAAACCAGCCCGCCCAACTTCACCCCACCTCCCATCCTCATCCCCCTCATACTCTCCCCCTCCCTCCTCCCATCCTCACCCCTCTCCCTCCTCCCATCCTCACCCCTCTCCTCCCTCCTCCCGTCCTTACCCCCCTCCCTCCTCCCGTCCTCACCCCTCTCCTCCCTCCTCCCGTCCTCACCCCCCTCTCCCTCCTCCCGTCCTCACCCCCCTCTCCCTCCTCTCGTCCTCACCCCTCTCCTCCCTCCTCCCGTCCTCACCCCCCTCTCCCTCCTCCCATCCTCACCCCTCTCCTCCCTCCTCCCGTCCTCACCCCCCTCTACCTCCTCCCGTCCTCACCCCTCTTCTTCCTCCTGTCGCGGATGATCCTCTGGGCGACCCGCCTCCAGCGGGGCAGGGAGCTCAGCAGTCTGAGCCGGGACAGCACGGAGAGGTCGCTGCACATGGCGGGCCGCAGCTCGTTAAAGAGAAAGCGCAGGCGCTCGATGACGGGCGCGCAGACCTCCTTGTAGGAGCGGCCCTGCTCCTGGTGCGTCTGCGGGTCAGATGGAGACGACGTGACCTCGGGCCCTCGGCCGACCGCACAGCCCCCCGTCCGTCCACACGGCCCCCCGTCCGTCCGCATGGCCCCCCGTCCGTCCGCACGGCCCCCCCCTCCGTCCGCACGGCCCCCCGCGTCCGTCCGCACGGCCCGGCGGGGACCCACCTTGATGAGGGAGCACTTGGCCTGGTAGACCACCCGGCAGACGTCCACCACCGGCTTGGGCAGCGCCCTGTGCTTCGCCTGCTCGACGGCGAGCGCGCCGGCGTGGACCAGAGACAGCGCCACGTGCCCTGGGGGACGGGACAGAGTGGCCGGTGGGACGCCGTGGCCAGCGCGGGAGCCAGAGGCCTCGGAGGCGAGCACGTGGCGTCCTACCTAAGTCTTCGTGCTTCAGGAGGCAGCAGAGCAGCAGGCGGCCCACCTCCTCCACGGGGTGCTCGGGCGGGAAGCTGATGGGGGTGGTCAGGTGGCACTGCCGGCAGCACCGCTCCACCTGGCACAGGAAGTCCTGCCAGACGCCAGGGAGGTGGTGGTCAGCCCCGCGAGGGCTGCCGCGGGCTCCACCACACCCCCTGCTCCGCGTCAAGCCAGAGCCCTCAGCCGAGCGGGGAAGCTGGTGGAGGACTCCTGAGTCACACCCGCCGGGCACCTCACCTTCACGCTGTGGTCCTGCACACTGTTGTCCGCCAGGGCCTGCAGGAAGGCCTGGGAGTGGTCGCCCAGGGCACGCGCGTGGGCGCGGAGGCGGGACTTGCTGGCAGGGGTGCCCCCGGGGGAGCTGCAGTGGTCCTCGTCCTTCTCCTCGTTGTAGCTGTAGTGGGTCTGGCTGGTCTGCAGGCCTCCCGAGAAGATGGACGACTGCAGCCACTCTAGGGAGCGAGCGCACGGACAGCAGCTGAGGCGCCGCCCAGCCCCAGCGAGAGCAGCACCTACGCCCCAGCCCTGCAGGTCTCCAGGACTGTGCTCCCGAAACATCTCCCGGTCCGACAGGCAAACCCCACGCCCTCGGGCCTCTGCCCGGACACAGGGCTCAGCGTTCAGCTCTCCAAACGCCACCGACTCCCGCACACACGCTCTGCACACGCACACATGCTCTGCACACACCCTCCCGCACACATGCTCCGCACACGCTCCGTGAGCACACACACAGTCCGCTGAGAACAGCCATGGTCAGTGAGTGGGAGCGAGCGTGTGCTTACTGGCACATTCCACCTCCACCGGCGAGAGCGGCGTGCTCAGGGCGAGGTAGGAGGCGTGCAGCCCGAGCAGCAGGCCCAGGTTCCTCTCCGTGTCCATCAGAGGGGAGGACAGGCTTCCCAGGTCGGGGACGGTGACCACCTCCTGGTCGGGCTGGGGAGGGGGACTCGCCGTCAGGCTGAGGAAGCAGGTCCACCCACACCACAGCGAGAGGCGCGCGGCCTGTCCTCGCTCAGGCAGGGGACCGCCGCCCGCCGCCAGCCTCACCTCCAGGTACTGGCCCACGCAGAAGGCGTGCATGGACTCCCGCGTGTCCTCAAACTGCAGCGCGGCCTCCAGCGCCACCACGGGGTCCTCCCCGGCAAACTGAGCTGCAAGAGAGCAGAGCGCCGACTCCACAGCGGGCCCACCCCCCACGGAAACGGTCGCCGGGCAGTCAGGAATTCTCCCAACACCCTGAGCTCCGTGACAGGAGAGCCACCGAGAGTTTAAAACGGGGGCTGAGGCTGGACTCCGGGGCACAGACACGGGGAGACGTACGGGGAGGTGCCCCAGAGCCACCTGAGACCTATGTAACGGCACAGACCAGCAGGACCCCAAGAAGTTCCCCAGAAATAACCCGCCAGAGGAGAGGCTGAGCCCTGCTGGGGATGGCCCGCGGGAGGCGAGGGCGGAGCAGCGGGCCTCACCGAGGATGCTGCTGCCGCTCAGGGCCTGGGCCTGGAAGTCCTTGATGTCGTACACCCGCCCGTCGATCACGGTCCAGAAGCCGCCGTCCTTGTTGTGGTTCTCCAAGTCCGCCTTGCGGATCAGGGTCACCTCCTCGTTGTTCCTGCCGCTCTGACCTGGGAAGACATGCGCCGTGAACACAGACCCCGGGGTCCTGCATCCACAGCCGCAGGACCACGACCTGACCCGACGTGGGAGGAACACAGGCACATACGCGTGCGCACACGGCGGGAGGGAGCACAGCCTGCTGGCGCTGCCCCACACGGGCCCCGCAAGGACACAGGATCTGCACACCAGGGCGCCACACGGGAGCCGAGGGACCCGCAAACCTGACCACGACCAGGCGAGAGGAGAGCGCCACCCGTGGCCAATGCGGAGAGGAAGAGGGCGGACGGGACAAAGCGGGGCTGAAAAGCCCTCGGGAGAGGCGCACCCATGATGCCGGGCCAGGCCAGCTCCTCCTGGTCGTCCCGCTCCCTGCCGGGCGCCAGGTGGTTGAAGCGGTCCAGGTGCTCCAGCAGGCCGCCCAGCAGCGGCACGGCGCCCGCCTCCTGCATGAGCCCCGGGCTCTTGCTGAGCAGGAGGACGATGGAGACCACCAGCTCTGGAAGGAGCACGCCTGCAGGGGGACGGGAAGTAATCAGGTTACGGTTTACGTGGGAGCGTCTACCCTACAGACCGGAGCACAAGGCCCTCTGTCACATGCCCAGAAGGAGGTGCCGCCCCCAGCACCCCCACAGGACCCTGTCCCCCTTTCCTGAGAGGCACAGAACGCGTTCCAGAACCAGTTTCAACACCGAGGCAGTATCAGCTGGCATCTTTCATCCAGAAAAGACTGGGTTTACAGCTGATTCACCAGCAGAAAACCGCTCTCGCGATAATGACCCAACGTCACAGAAGCAGCTTGACAACACAGGACGCGGTGTTGGGACTGACTCAGATCCCTGCTGCTGTCGCTGAAAGAGCTGGACAGCAGCACGGACCCAGCACTGGTGTCTGCGATGGTGCAGGACGCAGCCGCTAACCACGGCCACAGCACAGACCCCTGACCCGGCTGCTCCAGCTCGGCTGCCAGCAGCCACAGAAGCCAGAGGGCAGCCCGGGCCAAGTGAGAGGCTTTAGGAAATGGTCCGTTAGCACGGGTCTATGACAATAAACAGGAAAAGGTACCGGTGAAGTCGCCCTCCACGACGCTGGCCACCTCGGCGAAGTGGCGCCAGCTGGTGGAGGCGATGCTGGCGGCCACGGGCAGGATGTCGCCGATGTGGGTGCAGAGCAGGGCCGTGTACTTCTTCAGCAGGGAGCCCACGCCCATCAGCTCGGGACCTGCAGGGAGAGGCGGAGTGCACGTCGCTCGCGTTACCGGGAACGGGTGTGTGTGTGTGTGTCACTGCCACCGACAACACAGCGCTCAGGCTCAAGCTCGCGTCTGGTCCAGCTCTGCCGGCCTCCGTCAGGGAACTGTGCGCCACGGCCTGCCCAGCGTGCAGACCCTGCGCCTGTGGACACCCACGTGCAGCCCGGCGTGTCGCCCAGCCCGAGCGCGCAGACTTGAACGTCTGAGGCCACTCACTAGGGGTGTCGGCGGGCGGTCCCCCGCTCTCTCCTGGATACAGCTTACTGATGAGCAGGCGCTGGAAACGCAGCAGCAAGTCCAAGGAGGCGGATCGGTCCCGACTGGGCTGCTCCACGTCCAGGCAGGACGAGATCCGGCGGGCCACGTCCTTCAGCCTGGCCACGGTCTGGGCAGCAATGTTCCTGCGGAGCAGAGAGGACGCAGTGACGCAGGTGCGTGTCCACACGGGAAGGTGCCTGCAGCCACCGCACAGACAGGCTCAGACCGGCAGCCTGAGCCGAGCGGGCTCGCTGCCCGGGAGACGGCACAGTCTCGGGGGAGTGGAGGAGCTGAGAAGGCGCCCCAACACAAGGCACCGCTGCTTCCCTCGTGACCCTGAGGCTGCGGCCTGTCCTCTCACCTGTGCTGAGAGCCAGCTCTCCGCACTAACACCGGCCCAGTCCTTCGCAGAATATCTTCTCCACCGCCAAGCCCATGTCCCACCGTCTTCCCGGAAAACCACGCACCCACCCAAGAGCACTCAGGCACCCACCTGAGCAGCTGCTGGACGAGCTGCACCAGGGGCAGGCACTGCTTCCCCGCGGACTCGTAGATCCCCGTGTTGATGAGGTCCTTGTCCAGCGGAGTTCTGCTTCGGTGAAACGTCGAGGCATTTGCTTCCTGCTCGTCGATTTCCTTTTCCTTCTGTGCTTCTTTTTTGGCTTCAATATCCTGCAATTTATGAAACAGAACCTGGTTACCAGCTGCCTCGGAAACAGGCGTGAAGGCACCTGGGCTGACCCCGCAGCCTGGTGGCCCCTTCGTGACACCCACGCCAGGTGATCCTGGCCCTGCACACCCGCTGAAATCCCGTCACCCAGTTTCCAAACAGACTGCCCCACAAACCCACTGTCCAGCTGCCCTCCCCCCCCCCCCCCCCGCCAGGGGGCCACGCCGGGCTGTACCTGGATCTCGGCAGTAATGGCTGCGTTTAAGGCCGACTCCAAGCCTCCGTCAGCCATCAAGCTGCCCACCAGGAGATCGACCATGAAACGGCGGCCTGGACTGACATTGACTTCGTTGCCTGAAACTGGAGAAGGGACCGTTTTCGCCAACGTGAGACAAGATAATCCCCTCCCGCGTCCTCCGCTCCTCCCAGACCCAGACCCTGCCCCTGCCCCTGCCCCGCACCTGCACAGGGCAGGAGAGCCGAAAGCGCCCGGGCCCGCTCCTCGGCAGTGGGCAGCAGCACGGACCAGCCGCTCTGCAGCACCGCCTGGGCGGCCGCCTGCACGGTGCCCAGCACGCCCGCACTGCTGGCCAGGGCCACCACGGTCTGCTTCAGGCTGCTGAGGAGGACGCTGCCCGGACCTAAACCAAGCAACTCTGGGTCAACCTGGTGGCTAATGGCGGCATGCAACTGGAAGGACAAAAACAGCAGTCACTGAGCAGCCCGGAGCACGGGCCCCAACTCACCAAGACAGAGTACCTCCCACTGAGTTCTGCCAGACGTTAAAGGAAAGACTTCTTAAAGGAGACTGTACACATTTTACCCACACGGGTAGAGAACCCACGGTGAGACATTTACGAGGACTGCTTAACACCCAACTGTGAATACTTACAGGGAAATACCTGTGTGCTTATAATACATAACTTACACGTAACGTACTTATTAAATGCTCAAGAGGAACAGCGGCTAGACATGTGGAAAACCCACCCAGCACAGAAAACAGTGACTCTGACCTGACCTAGAGACTTAAACGACGACCCCCCAGGCTGAGAGGACCCGCCCAGACGCGCAGCAGAGCTCGGAGGCTGGGCTCTGCGAGCAGAACCGAGCCTCAGGCTTGAGACCCAACCGCCCACGACAGCCTGACCGCGAGCTCCCGCCAGCCCGCCAGGGGCTGAGGGCAGCACCCGCCCAGCCAGGTGCGGGGGCGAGGCCCCACCCTACCCACGTGGCTCAGCCGACTGGGCGCCATCCCGTGTCCCAAAGAGGTGGTGTGTTTGATTCCGTCAGAGCACGTGCCAGGTTGTGGGCCCCATCTCCAGGAGCGGGCACGCAGGAGGCAGCCAACCCACGATTCTCTCTCATCATCGGTGTTTCTCTCTCTCTCCTTCTCCCTTCCCCTCCGGAATCAATAGGCATGTGTTTTTAAGACACCCTTTAGCCTGGGCCAGTGTGGCTCAGCTGGTTGGAGCATCATCCTACACCGGAAGGCTGCAGGTTCGATCCCCTACCAGGGCACATGCCTTGGTTGTGGTTTGATCCCCAGTCGGGGAGTCTACAGGAAGGCAACCAAGTGACGTTTCTCTTGCACCTCAATGTTTCTCTCTTTACTCTGTGAAGAAAATTTGTGCTCTTGGCATTAAGCCATATATTACCAAATAAGTAAATAAATAAATAAGATCACCAAACAAACATTTTCCTTAGCAGTTGGACTGGCTAAACCGCCTCCCGGGAGGGGCGCGTGCCCACCTGCAGCCGCAGCAGGTTCAGCGTGGCCACGGCCATGCACTCCTTCTCCTGGGGCGGCGGCCAGTCGGAGGTGCCGTCCATGCCCTCGCTCACTTGCCGCAGGAGCAGGTCCAGCTGCTCAAAAGTGCCCGAGCAGACGTCCACCACAAAGGGGACGCGCAGGCCCACAGACCACTCGGAGCACGAGGACCAGGCGAAGCTCTGCGGAGGAGACAGACGAGAACCAGAGATGATCTGTCCACTCAGCGACGGGTCTGTACATTCCCTGTAAATGATGGGAGAAGGGACAACCACCACGCGCAGCCACGCCCGTACCTGGGCAGGCCCGCAGGCGATGCCGACGATGTGCTTGGTGTCCAGCCCGGGCAGCGGCGAGGGCTCCGGCTTGGTCTGGTGCAAGGTGTCGAAGTGCTGGCACTGGTCGTTGTTGCCCCAGCTGTGCACCTCGCTGTCCTCCGTCAGCGCCAGGCAGTGGGTGGAGCCTGCGGCCACGTCGATCACCTTCTTCCCTGGAGGGAGAGAGGCAGCTGCTTTCGAGCTACGGCGCTGTGGTGACGCACTCACCCGGCCACTCAGTTTGGGGCACCTGCTCACGGACAGTGCACTGCCTAATGTTACACTCATCTGCTCATCTACTTATTAAAACTCATTGTGTCTTATGAGTTATGATTTATTGAGACCCACAGCCTGCCAGTGAGAGAACGCTGGGCGTGAAGAGAATCTGTTGTTTTTTCCTCCTTACTCAGATCTTCATCTTCAGAAAGACAACTGTCTTCCTTTAAATACATTTTCATTGACTTCAGAGAGGAAGCGAGAGGGAATCACCGACTGGCTGCCTCCTGCATGCCCCCTGACGCTCTATCCACCGAGCCAAACCGGTGAGGACGCCATATGTATCGTTAGTCACTCGATCACGTTCTCCCGTCCCGAGGCGGGGCCGTGCCAAGGAGACTGTTTTAAGAGCAGCTGTAGGTTCCCACGCTCCCCCGCCACGCGGCCCGTCCGTGCTCACCCTGCAGGGCCTCCAGGAGCTTGGGGTAGCGCACGTGCTCCTCGGCGCCATGGCCGAGCCGCTGGTTGTCGCCTTTGCCCCAGGAGTACACCTGCCCGTCCTTGGTCAGCGCCACCGAGAACTGGCTGCCGCACCGCACCTTCACCACGTCCAGGTCCTGCAGCTTCTCGATCAGCTTGGGCGTCTTGCAGCCGTCACTGCCGCCTCGGCCCAGCTTGCCGTAGTCCCCGTCTCCCCAGGACCACACCTGGCCTGGAGGGACGGCCGCTCAGCACGCAGCCCACAGCACAGACCCAGACCACGAAGGGTCCCGCCCTCACAGGGGGAGCTCCCGCCCCAGCCCTCCGGGTCAGCCCCACGCACCGTTGTCGGTCACGGCCAGGGTCTGGGCGTCCCCGCTCCCGCACGCCACGTCGATGACCTTCAGGCCTTTCAGCCCGGCCACCAGCATCGGGATGGCCTCGTCCTCGCTGGAGCCTGCGCACACACAGCACTCTCGTGACGGCCCGCCCCGCACGGGAGGCCCCTCCCAGCATGCTCGGGCGCCCGCGCACCGTGGCCCAGGCGGCCGTAGTTGCCGCGGCCCCAGGTGTACAGCTCGCCCTCGGCGGTGATGGCTGCGCTGTAGGTGCTCCCGCAGGCGATATGCACCACGTGCTTGCCGGCCTGCTTGCCGGAGAAGGCGGAGATCACCTTGGGCTCCTCCAGGGGCCTGGGGAGAGAAGCTGCGGCCTCAGAGCATGGCCTCCACCGAGTTCCCCACAGAGCGGACGCCCCCCCCCCGGGAGAGGAGAAGCTTCGCCCTGGGGCCGCCTGCCTCCGCCACGAGGAGGGGACAGAGGCCACACACCTCCCTGGCGCGCGTTTAACGAGCGCCCCATGCCAGCCTGGCGCCCGCGGGCTGTCACAGACGCAGCCAAAGGCGCACGAGCTTCTAGACTGGCCTTCTGAGCCACCGCCACCCAGGCTCCCACGGCAGGGCGGCCGTGACGGACTCTGACCCCGAGGAACCACGCCGCGGTCACACCGGAGAAACAGGACGGGCTCTGCCCTAGGAAACCCCACGGGGCGCGGGCGTGGCGAAAGCGGGGACAAGAGCCTCGAGGGCTGGAGCTGGGGAGGTGCCACTGTGCGGGCACCCTGGCAGCGCCTCCCCCCCCCCCCCCCCGGCCCTGCATGTCGGAGGGTGGGTCAGAGGGTGGGTGGCCGCACGTACACAGTGTCGCCGTGGCCCAGCCGGCCGCCGTCCCCGCAGCCCCAGGAGAACACCTCGCCGGTGGCGGCCAAGGCCAGGTAGTGGTGGCCGTCGGAATGGGCGGCAATCTTCACGATGTTTCTGGAGGCGAGGCCCTGGACCAGCTGGGGGGCCTGAGGGGCAGACACAGGAGGACGTGACCGGTGAGCAGAGGCGGATGAGGAGCACACGGCTCCCTCGGTCCGCTGCCCTCGCTTCCAATCCCACCGGCTGGAAGGACCAGGCCTCCAGGTCCTTCCAATGGAGGCCTCCCCGCGCCCTGGGCCAGAGGTGCCGCCTCTGGGAGGCGGGCCCGGACACCCACCAGCGTGTCGCTGTTGTAGGCCTGCGTGTACACGCGGCCGTTGCGTGACAGGATCAGGAAGCGCTTCTCCGCGCAGGCGATCTGCGTGACGCCCAGGTTGGCCAGGCCTTTGCTCTGAATGGGCCCGATCACGTTGGCGTAGCACTTCCATCCGATCAGCCCCCAGCCGATGACCTCCTGCACGGTCCCCTGAGGCAGAAAGGGAGCTCGCTCAGTCACAGAAAGGACGCTGCAGGCTGTCCCTCGGCACACCCACACCGCCCGTCCACCGACAAGACCAAGTGACCGAGTGGCCCTCCGCAGCATTCACGTCTCACAGCCCATGAGAGAGGAGGACCTGAGCCGGCCCATGTGGCTCCGTGGTTGGGCGTCCATCGAGGAACCAGGAGGTCCCAGTTGGATTCCCGGTCAGGGCACAGGCCCGGGTTACAGACTCGCTCCCCAGTGCGGGGTGTGCAGAAGGCAGCCGATTCATGTTTCTCTCTCACCACTGATGTTTCTCTCTCTCTCCCTCTCCCTTCCCCTCTAAAATCATTAAGAATATGTACATATATATATATATATATTTTTTTTTTTTTCTTTTTCTTTTTTTCTTTTAAAAGAGGCAGGAAGGGTAGCTAGAGCCAGAACCTCTAAGCCAGCTCCCCCCCCACCACAGGCACCAGGGAGCCTGGGGTGGCAGCAGGGGGGAACAGGAACACCGTCGCGGCGCACCCACCTTGTGGGACGTGGGAGAGCTGCACGGCGGCGGCATGCAGGGCGCGGCCAGGCGGTCCAGGTGGGCCATGACGACCACGGCCGTCTGCCGCAGGTCGATGGCGAGCTCGCTGTCTTGCGGGAGAACGAGGTACCTGAGGAAGCTCTCGTTGGGGCTCAGGGGGCCCGTCAGCAGCTGGAAGGGAAGCACAGGGACCTCAGGCAGCGCTCGCCTTCAGCATCAGGTGAGATCTGTCATGGGTGCACTGACACCACCCTGCACCCTCCCCTGCACACGCAGCAGTGACACGCCTGGCACCGCCCGCTCCGCACCTCAGAGCCTCGGGGCCCAGAGCAGCCTCGCTCACGGCCACTCGTGACATAGAACTAGGCAGCTCTCCCTTGGGCTGGCTACGCTCTGAGAGGCCCGCGGAGAACAGCCGGGGGCAGATCCAGGCATGCCCGACCAGCAGCCTCAGTGTCCCCATGGCCGGGACCACCCCAGGACACGAGCTCTGGCCATGTCTGCAGAAGCCTCGCTGTGAGGACGAGTGAGAAGCGAGGGAGCCTCGTGAAGACACTGACCAGGGTGTCGCCCTCGGCATGGGGGGTGTCCTTCCCGCAGAGCATGCTCTGGAACCGCTGCAGCAGGGGCAGGAGTGGGGCGCTGGTGCCCTGCGCCGACCGCTCGTTGTCCGTCTCCTGAGTCCCGCTGTCCCACAGCTGAAGCAGCAACAGGATGGCTGACAGCATTTGGCTGGAAGAGGAAATACCTCTGTTCTCAGAAAAAGCAGGCTCACTTTTTTGCAAAAACAAAAGCACGCGGGCCGGCGCGGCTCACCGTTTGAGCCGAACTAGGAACCAGGAGGGCAGGGTTCAATTCCTGGTCAGGGCACAGGCCCAGGCTGCAAGCTCAATCCCCAGTGGGGAGCAAGCAGAGGGAGGGAGCTTACAGAAGGGCATGTGCCCTGACCAAGACCTGTCGGTTCCTGGGTCAACGCTTAAGCACTGAGTCGGCTAGCTGGGCTCCCTTCCTCTCTCTCTCATAAAGAGAAAAAGAAGGGACAGTTCTGAGGAGGCAAAGAGGAACACAAAGAGGAAGCAAACAAAGCTGCGTGCACCGGCGTGAAGGCAGAGCGCCCGGGAGGACAGGGCTCCCGGCTGCAGCCACCGCTGAGCGGCGAGCCCCAGGACGCACACAGGTCCCACAGAGGTGTCTCCCGAACGCGGGGTGCGGCGCCTACCTCAGCGTGCCTCTCTGCACTGCCAGCTCCAGCAGGAGGGCCAGGGCCAGGTGCTGGTCCTGCAGCGGGATGCTGCCCGGGCCCTTGCTGCCTGGCGTCCCGTGGACGTCCCTGAAATCACAGCCGTGTCAGGGCTTCGAGATAAAATGCTAACGTGACGCCACTCCCGCCCAGGGAGACGTGCATTCTGAGCACTCAGAGCGCGCAGGAAGCCGCCGGCGTGGTGTGGGTGGGCGGGCGCCTCAGGGCCCCCCAGGAGCAGGGCACTCACCCCGTCACGACGGAGCGGAGGAAGCGGGTCGCCCTCTCCACCACCTCCAGCCACACGGACGACACGGTGCCCTCGTCGAAGAGGGAGGCCTCAGGCAACGCCCGCAGGGCGTCCAGGGACTCCTGCAGCAGCTCGCTGCACAGGTCCGCGTCCTCCCCTGGGCACACACGCGCGCGTCAGGGGGCCGCCCCGTCCACCCCGTCACCCCCACTCCCCTCGCCATGAGCCACTGGGGGACTCCAGAGGCCAGAGTTAAACAGCTGTCCCCAGAGGCAATTCTGCACATACAGCTCTCCCAGGAGCACCTCTACCTTCCTGCTCTCCTAGGAAGGCCGTCAGGACTGAGGCCTCAGGGGTTTCACACCCTTTAAAGAGGCACAGACCTTTCCTCGTCAGGGAGAAGGCCAAGGAGGCATCCACAGCCCCTGGACGGGCCCCAGACCCGAGCGGGCAGCAGTGAGGGGAGAAGCCGGGCCCGGGGGGCACATACCTGACCGCCAGGCCCTGCGCAGGAACGCGAAGGCGAAGGACAGAGCAGCTCGGGACCCGACTCTCGCCAGGCCTTCCACGCCTTTGCCCGTGGGCCGGGAGCTGCGGGACACGGGGACGGCTTCAGTCGGGGGGGTGGGGGGGGGAGGGCGCAATGCGTTCCTTTAGAGGGAGGCTTCCAGGGACTTTGGTTCCAGGGTCTTTTTAAACCTGTTACCAACTGTCCTTTGTGAAGGAAGCACCCTCTTCCAGGAAAAAGAGAAGAGAGACTTAGAAAGACTTCAGCCCTGGCTGGCTGCTCAGCTGGAACATCGTCCCAGACACACACCTAACGGTGACAGGTGCCATTCCGGCAGGACACCGCGGGAGTCAGCCAGCCAGTCCTTGTTTTCCTCTCTCTCCCTTCCTCTCTCTAGAAGTCAATACAAAGCTTTAGAGCAGGTTTAAAAGAAAACGACGCCACAATAACGCACAGTCTGCAGCCTGTACTGTCTGAGCAAACTGCGAGGCCACTGTCCACAGGAGAGGAAACTCCACAGGGGAAGGAAGAGGGAGCTCACACCACACACGAGGCCGGCCCGGCAAGCCTCCCCCCAGCTGCCCTGCCCGCGACCGGTCTCCACTCTGCAGGTGTTACCTCTTCTTGTCCACGGAAGGCAGAGCGCCGCTGCTGCTCTTCCCCTTGACCTTGGCGCTCTCCTGGGCGACGGCTCTGTTCAGGGCGATGAAGTAGCGCTCCAGGATGGCCAGCCGCTGCCGGAGCCGCAGGGCGGACAGGGTGCTGGTGGCCGCCCGCACAGCCAGCGCCTGCTGCTCCTTCACCAGCACTGAGAGGCACTCCCTCAGCTCCCCCGCGTCTGGAAAACACGAAGGGGGCGTGCGAGCTCAGCGGCCGGGCCAGGCCGCCGTGCTGTAATGACGTGACGAAGACTGGGGGCACAGCAAGAGCCCCTCAGGCCGACCCTGGGCACGAACAAGGTGGCTGGGAGTCTCCTGGAGAGGAGACTGAGGCACAGAGAACTCCCACAGTCACCAGATGAGTAGGACACGTGGTGGAGACCATGCTTGGCCACCGTGGTGGACTGCCTCTCTGTAAACGTGGTGTAAATGTTTTCAACGCCAAATTATAAAGTTAACAATTGTCAGCAGCACACTTTCTAGACAGAGAAAAACTCTGCCCATTATTTCCACGTCATGAAATGAAAAGGAAAACACTGTCTCTTGCCCTGGCCACAGTGGCTCAGTGGATGGGCATGGTCCCATGCACCAGGAGGTTGCTGGCCCAGTGGTCAGAGCGCCAGCCCGTGCAGAACCATGCGGGTTCGATTCCCGGTCAAGCAGGTTCAATCCCAGGCTCCCGCTGGGGCATGTGCAGGAGGTGACCAAGGATGTGTCTCTCTCACATCCATGTCTCTCTCTCTCCACCCCCACCTGTACTTTCTCTAAAAATCAACGAAAAAAGTATCCTGGGGTGATAACAAAAAACCAAAGTGATGACACTGGCCCTGGCTGGGTGGCACAGCTGGTCGGAGCATCAGCCCATACACGGAACGGCTGCAGGTCCGATCCCCCGTCACAGCACCTGCGAGGCTGTGGGTTAGATCGCCAGAGGGAGGCAACCGGTGGATATTTCTCTCTCTCATCAATGTGTTTCTCTCTCTCCCCCACTTAATCTCTAAGAATCAATAAACATCCTCAGGTGCGGATTTAAAAAAAAAGCGAGGGGGGGAGACAAAAGTCATAGGTTATCAGTTCTGTATGGTTTACAATACAAAACCTTTTAAGTAACGTCTTCCTAAATGCCATAACCTCCCCCCACAGAAGCCGCTGCGGCACCTGGCGAGTGAGCGCCAGCTCACGCTCCCGGCCCCGAGGCGCACAGGCCCCTACCTGGCTGCTTGCCCCACACCCAGCTCTCCAGGATGGACTTGGACCTGAACACAGGGGCAGGGCTCTCTTCCTCGTCCTTTTTGTCTTTGTCGTTCAGATCCTCTTTCTTCGTCCCACTCTGAGTATCGGCGCCGTCCTCTGGAAGAGTTACAAAGACGTGTTTTAAGCCATCGATTGTTTTTCCGAAGGTGACATCCCCACCGAGGCCCCTCCCGGAAACGGGGGGAGGAGTCACAGGCCGGAGCACCCCCTGAAAGCTGGGCGATTCTTTTCATTACTTGTCATCACCGAAACGACTGCCCAGCGCCCTCTCAGAGAGACCCCATGGCACCCCAGTCTCTGAAGCACGTCCTCCAGAGCGCTCCATCCACTTCCTCTCCAGCTTACAGCTAGCAAACGCATCTGTGGCCTCTGCTGACTAGAGTGTCACAGCAACTGTCTTATCCAGCGATTCCCAGCTGTGTCCCTGCATTCGATTCAGGGACAGGGCCCATGGCAGGGTTGCAGGCTCTATACCCAGTGGGGGCGTGCAGGAGGCAGCCGATCCATGATTCTCGCTCATCACTGATGTTTCTCTCTCCCCCTCCCGCTCCCTTCCTCTCTGAAATCAATAAAAATACATTAACGGAAAAAAAGAAAGAAAGGAAGGAGGAGGAACGGCCATGCCGAAGGAGGGACACCGCAGTGGGGCTTCGCAGTGAGCAGCCCGTCAATACACATCGATCGATGAAATCCAGGCAGCGGTCCTGTCAGCAATCCTCTAGACAACAATCACACTGAGGGCTGTGCTCAGACCCTCCCGTTTCTGCAGCACTTCCCAACTTCTCTGCCGAAGGGAAAGCACCAGCGCGAGGCCCTCACCTTTTCTAGGCGGCAGCTCCCCGCTCGGGGTGACTTCTGCCCCCGGATACACGATCTCGCCGTCTTTAACCATTTCATTCCACAGACCGCAGAGCCCATCTCCCGTGAATGCAAGCTGGCAACGATGAAGAAGATAAACTTAAGAAGCGAACATGCTCACCATGCAATTCTTTGTGTGTGTGTGTGTGTGTGTGTGTGTGTGTGTGTGTTTTAATGTTTTTATTGACGTCAGAAAAGGGAAGGAACCATTGAACCACAGCAGACAGGAAATTCTTAAATGATGATATAAAAGATATAATTTCCTCTTTGTTAATCGTTCAACATTGAGTAAAAATCCCCCCCCCACAAAAAAAAAAGTTAGGTAAAAAAGACACTTCCTACTACAAGTGGGAGAGAATCCCCAACAAGACAGGAAGGGTGAGACCTATATGCATAAGGCTTGCATCCTCAACGCCTGTCTCAGGAACTATGTCCAACAATGTCTCAGGGCACGGCCAGGAGAAATTACAGAAAACCAGCAATCACCTGTTTGCAGGTATTAAATAGCTTCAACAGCCATAGCACATTGTACGTCTGGTGCCTCTTGCCCTAGCCGGTTTGGATCAGTGGATAGAGCACCGCCCTGCTGAAGGGTCCCAAGTTCTGGGCTCCATCCCCAGTGGAGGGCATGCAGAAGGCAGCCGATCAGGGATTCTCTCCCATCATCGATGTTTCTCTCTCTCTCTACCCCTCTCCCTTCCTCTCTGAAATCAATAAAAAACATTTTACACCGGAACAGGGAGGAGGCAGGCATGTGTGTCCGAAACCCCACCTGGATGTCTGTTTTCAGCCACTTGGAGTCCAGGCGAGCCTGGGCGGCCAGACAGAAGGACTCGGAAGGCATCTTTCCCCCGGGGTCCTCCAACCAGCGGTCAGGCCTGCAAGGGAAACAAAAGGGATGGAGGCTAAATAAACACAGCTTCTCGGGTGTCCACCGAGACCTGCCCGCGGGGTTTCATGAGGGAGAGAGAGGGGTGGGGGGGAAGGACGGAGAGAGCAGAAGTGTGAGAGACAAGTGACAGAGGAGGGAGAGGGGGAAAGACGGGGAGGACAGGCGGGGAGACGGGAGGAGGCGGGGACCCGGGGCTCCCAGGCCAGGTAAGCAGGCGCCCCGCGCGGGACTCGCCCGGCGCCAGGACCACGTCCGCGAGACCTTGAGGGCGATGGACGGTCATGGAGGGCCACACTTCAATGTCACCGTCCCCTTCCCTCCAACCCCAGAGGGAGACACCGTCCTGACACCCCCCTGCCCACGATCCGGACGGCGCCGTGCACCTGCCGCCGGGCCCGGGCGCGGGGCGGCGGGGAAGACACGCACCGCCAGGCGCGTCCGCGGACAAACACGAAGCCGAGCATCACCCCTCCGGGCGGGAGAGGCTCAGCCCGGGACGCGCGCCGCCGCGGACGGTCCTGTCCGCGCAGGCCCAGGCCCCGCGGCCGCGCCCACGCCCCGCGGCCCCAGGGCCCAGCCCGGCCCGGACCCCCAGCCCGCGCCGCCCCCGCCGCCGGCCGCCCCCGGGGAGATCGGCACCTGAGACGCGGCAGCCGCGGCACCTCGGCCCCACGGCGGCGTGTGGGTCCAGCCTCCGAGCCGCCGCTGGCTCCGCCTGCCCGCGAACCGCGATCCCGGCGCCTCCCGCGGCCGGAGGGGCGGGACCACGGGGGACGCTCGCTGCTTTCCAGCCAATCGCAGCGAGGCCGCTGCGCGGGCCCAGCCAATGGAGAAGAGGATCTCCCCTTGGCTCCTCCTTCCGGTCTTCCGTCTTCCTTCAATCCCGGAGGTTTCCCCCCTCTGGGGCACGCCCCCTTGCGGTCAGGGCCAATCGTAGGTGCCGGGAGGCAGAATTTCCGCTGGTGGGAGGCGGGATTTCCTCTGACAGAAGGCGGGATTTCCGCCCACGCATGTACGCACGTCCTGCGGTGCAGCACATTGCCCGCCCCTCTTTCCGGAAAAGCCAACCTTGACGGTGGGAAGCGTCCCGGAGGTAGCGGATCCAGGATGCTCTCTCATCATGGATGTCTCTATCTTCCGCTCCCTCCCTCCATGAAATCAATAAAAAAATAAATAAATAAAATAAAAAATATATATAAAGGTTGGCCCAACTATCACATCACTCTCCACTTCTGCCTCCGCAGCCCCGCCCCACGTAAATCTTTTATAAATGAAATGAATGGGGTGATCACGGCTCCTGCTCCCGACCTAACACGTCAGAACCGCCAGGGGCGCCCGTGAGAGCCTCCCGCTGCTGGGAGCAAGTTTCAGAAATGAAAGGGGCATCGAATGGGTGGGTTTTAGGATGGAAAGGGCGGGCGATGGCTGACTTTTTATTAAAATAAATAAACAAACTAACTTTGCATTTTTTCAAGGGGACCAAACCTGCAACCCTGCCACGCAGGCCTCCCTCTTCTACGCTTAAATGGAAAAAGCCAAGTCTGGCTGGCGTGGCTCAGTGGTTGCACCTTGACCTATGAACCAGGAGGTCACGGTTCGAATCCCGGTCAGGGCACTTACGTATCCCAGCCCCAGTCGGGACCCGTGGGGGAGGCAACCCATTGGTGTGTCCCTCTCACATTGATGTTTCTCTCTCTCTCTCTCTCTCTCTCTCTCTCTCTCTCTCTCTCTCAATATCAATGGAAAAATATCCTCGGGTGAGGATTAACAAAACAATTTTTTAAAACAAATTACGATCGACCAAGGTAGAATGCAGAGCCTTCTGATGTCGGCCTGCGGTGGTCCCGCTGAGCCGGGGGATGGGTGGTTTGTGTCAGCATCTTCCCAGGGAGCCCCCATTCCAATTCAGGGGGTGGTTAGCCCCCAATTCCTGATGGGGTCGGGGCAGGAACCCGGGGCCCTGCCTGCACTGCTCATCCAGGTCTGAGCTGCAGGAGACCTCCTCCACCCCTTTCCCCCCAAAGCCACCTGGGCCACCCCCAAACCAGAGAGGCTCCACGCCCGGCTCTCGCATTTCTGACAACATATGCATTTATTAGTATCAGAAGTACAAACGTAGGAATACAAATACAGATGCAGAGGGCGGCCCAGCCCCCAGGCCCTGCTGCCCTTGGGCAGGGCAGGGCAGTGTGCGGCCCGCAGTGCGTGGTGGGGACCCAACCGGCGTGTCGCCAAGGCACGTGGGGCGCAGGGCGAGCAGAGGAGGGCAGGGACCTCGGAACCGCCTGGTGGGACTTCCAGACCTGGGCCGAGGGCCTCCAGGGCCGCGTGATTGGTCGGACGGGGAGTCGGGGCTGGTGGAGGCCGCTTGGTGAGGGTGGAGACCCTGGCCTGGCCCTGGGCCCCGGTGCCTGGGGAGGGGCGGGCACAGGCACTCGGGCAGGGCGGGTCCCCTTTCTCTCAGGCCGAGCTGGGCTCCAGGGCACCTTCAGCGCGGATTCCAAGAGGCTCTGGGATTTCCCACTTTCTTCACTCTCCTCCCACCCAGGAGCGAGGTGGGGAGGTAGCAGTGAGGGGATCCCAGCACCCTCTGCCTGTGCCATCCATCTCCCGGGCCCCTCCCAGGCCTGCTTCCAACACAAGCTTCCCCAGGAGCACAGGCCTCCGTGGGGTGACCCCAAGGTGCCCACGCCCCCCGAGGTCCCCTCGCCTTGTCCTAAGCATCGGTGACGATGGCTCTCCCCGCCCCCTACACGGTGAGAACCGCTCGGAGCTCATCCGATAAAACCAGGACGCTCAAAAACATCAAAGGAAGTGCCCGGTGTGAACTCATTCAGTGGGCATCCGGGTTTGATGGCAGGTCCACGTCTCACCAGGTGTTCAAGCTCCATCCTGGTCCTCCCCCCATTTCTGGGAGATGGAAGGATTGTCCGTCTTTACGGGAAGCTCACCGGCGGTCACTAGGAAACTTGTTTCAGCTACACATGGGGTGAGAGTCCTACGCCTGTGAAGAGTTGGTTCCGTTTTTACCATTGCACACACACACACACACACACACACACACGTACACACATCGCCACACGGACCCACAGACAGCGCGGGCCCACTCCCGGGAAGCGGCTCCTCTCCTGGAATCTCCCACAAAAAGGAGGCGCTGGCCGGGGGTCGGCCTCAAGCTCCGCCTCGGAGCTGCTCCCAAAGAGACACAGACCACGGCTGTACGGATGGACGGGTGTAAACATTGTTCACCAGCACAACACGAGTCCTTGGGAAGGTGGGGAGGCGTGGGCGTCGTCTTTTAAAAAATGTGAGAACAGAGTGATTCTCAACAAAGGTGATAAAACACTGTAAATAGTCACCAGTACACGATGCCTGTGTCTAGTTCTACCTAGAAGTAAACATTCCAAGATACACAAGGGGGGAGTCCAAACCTAAACTCCAATTGTTTAGAGCAGGAAGCATACGGACCGTCCTTTTGGGCTCATGAAACCGGCAATGACCATCCATTTTTGGGGGCCGGGAGCAGGGGAATAGATCATTCTTGGCCAACTCAAGGAAAACAAAAGCCAAGTGAGGTAAAACCAAACCACCACCACCACCACCAGAAGCAGCCAACCACCACCACCACCTCCAAGGTGGGACATTCCATGTGAGTCATTTCAAGTTCTGGTTGAAGCCGGGGGTCAGCAGCCAGGGCCTCCGGGGCCAGGAACAGTCTGGACGTGGAGTAGGCCACCACAATGTTGAGTTGTTATTCTTGTATTTAACATTGGAAGGAAGACGAAAGTTCTGTTTCCTCCTTCATGTAACTCCTAAAATTTTTTTATTTTATTTCTTAATGGTTGGGCAAGGATATGAAGCTTTTCTGTTGATTCAATAGTTACAAAATAGTATGGACCACGGGGAGGATACGGATCATGATGACGATGGTGATGCTGCTGCTGATGGTGAAGATGGGTGGTGATGAAGATGGTGATGGTGAAGAAGATGATGGTGAGGATGGTGTTGAAGATGGTGATGGTGATGATGGTGAAGATGGTGATGAAGATGATGGTGGTGAAGATGGGTGGTAGTGGTGATGGTAAAGATGATGATGGTGATGATGGTGATGGTGAAGATGTTGATGATGATGATGGTGAAGATGGTGATGGTGATGATGGTGATGGTGGTGATGGTGAAGATGACGGTGAAGATGGTGATGATGGTGAAGATGATGATGGTGAAGATGGTGATGATGATGGTGGTGATCGTGAAGATGATTATGGTGAAGATGATGATGATGGTGCTAAAATCCCATCACCATCCTCTTGCAAATAAGACATAAAACATGGTGTGAAATACAGGTGATGGTGGGACATGGCGAGTCTACGAGATGATTTGAGCTGAACGTGTCCTGTGTAAGGCATAGGCTGGGTACATCGGGGGCAGTATTTGCTGGGTTCAGAGTTAAGAGTATCTGGCCGTCTTCTGGTCGTTGGTGTTGAGACCTGGCAGGAAGTGGAATTTCCTAGGCTCTGAAAAGGCATCTTGCTCTCATGGCGTTCACGTGAAATGCCTTTTCTTCTCTCTCTTGGCCCAGAGGCAACTCAAAACGGAGACAGTCACAGGTGTGAGTGTAAACCGCAGTGGTCAGGAGGTGGTTGGTCCACGAACAGGTGAAGTTCTCCGAAGAGCAGACATTTCATGGAAGCTAGTTCCTCTGCACATACCTAACAACTTACTTTTAAAACTGGATTTGCTAAGAAAAAGCCCATTGGCCTGTGGTCTATGGGGCCTGACGGCCTCACAGGACAGACCTAACCCTTGGAAACTGTAGGTGGCCCTCTATCCTTAGGTTTTTCACTCACTGGATAGGCAGCGACATTCCTCCAAACACATTCCTCTAGGTCAGCAGTCGGCAAACTGCGGCTTGCGAGCCACAGGCGGCTCTTTGGCCCCTGGAGGGTGGCTCTTCCACAAAGTACCACGGCCTGGGCGAGTCTATTTGGAAGAAGTGGTGTTAGAAGATGTTTACGTTTAAAACAGGTGGCTCTCCAAAGAGCTGTTGGTATTTGGCTCTGTGGACTCATGAGTTTGTCGGACCGCTGCTCTCTGTCGACCCCTCTGGGTCCGGCCAGCACCCAATAAATTTGTGTGACATCAGCACTTTTCTGTATTTCCTCGCCATCATGGTTTATCTTTTTCTTCTGAGGCACAATCATGCGCCCAATCGATCATTCAGCTAAAAATTCTATGCCTGCCAATACAATGAACCCAGTTTTCTGGGTGAGAAGCACAGAGACTCTGGCGCTAAAATTTCAGTGTGGAAACGTCGCACGCTGGGAGGCCTTTTTTGTTTTCCTGTGAGGGCGGGAGCGTCGGAAGCATCTTGGGAAGTAGTACACACACGGGCATCCAGTGGGGGGGAAAAACACCCAAAACCACAAAACAAACCCACACACAAACAAAGAACTCACATCACGAAGCAAGTCGGTTTTTGTTATAAAAAATATCAAAAGGGGACTAATTTCTGGGAACCGTTTCTTTGGGCTTTTGCTAGGCAACCCTATGTCAACGTATAAAAGCATTTTTTTTTTTTTTGTGCAACAAAATATATCACTGAAGACAGACCGTTTCCCTTTTTTTTTCTCCTTTTTTTTTTTTTTTTTTTGGCCTCTGAAGTGATCGGACTTGGACGTGACTACGCACTAAGAGAAAAAACGTTAAAACTACATCTACATTTCGTTCACACGCCGGGAACCACGGTCAAGACAAAAGGCCTGGGGATGGTGTGCGCGTTGCTTCGAAAGACGGAGAGGGTGCCGAAACTGGTTTGGCTCAGTGGATAGAGCGTCGGCCTGCGGACTGAAAGGTCCCGGGTTCGATTCCGGTCAAGGGCATGTACGTTGGATGCAGGCACATCCCCGGTAGAGGGTGTGCAAGAGGCAGCTGGCCGATGTTTCTCTCTCCTTGACGTTTCTAGTTCTCTATCTCTCTCCCTTCCTCTCTGTAAAAAATCAATAAAATATATTTAAAAAGAAAGAAAGAAAGAAAGAAAAAGATGACGGAGAGGATCGGTCAGAGCATATTAGCCGAGGCTGGGTCACCGCCGACTCCCAGGGGTTCGCAATGAAGCAGGCCCTTTTCTGATGCTCAGCCATGACCTCAGCTGACCTCAGCCACGTGAAAGCCTTTGAAAATCCTATTATTTTTCCTCCACGGGAAACGTCGGCGTGATGCCTGTCCCACCCCCTCCCTCCCCATCCGAGGCGAGGTGATGTAGGTGAAGGAATGGTAGGTAGCCCACCACGATGGTGCCGGAGCCAAACGGGCCACGGAGAGAGAGGAAGCGGGTTCGAGACTCACCACCGATCACACTTGAACTCGGGGTGCTCCTGGGGATGGAGGGGGGCTATGGGGTGGAGGGCAGTAGGAACCCCACACACACGGGGGTGCTGGCGCCCTCCGGAGGGCGACAAAGGAAAGAGCCCGCCAGGGTCGGCCGGTCGGCTGGCCGGCCGGCCGCGGTCTGAGAGCCCGTCTCAGAGATATTTGCTCACGTGGGTGAAAGAAGAGATTTCTCGGAAAGAGTATGCAGCAGCCGCTTCCAACATCCCGGAACCGTTAACAAACACCACCAGGCTGCCGATTCAGGAGGGACTGGCAAGAACGCCCCTTAAAAAAATGCAGCTGGTGGCCCTCACCGGTGTGGCTCAGTGGATAGAGCATCGGCCTGCGGACTGAAAGGTCCCAGGTTCGATTCTGGTCAGAGGCATGGACCTTTGTTGCGGGCACATCCCCGGTGGGGGGGCGTGCAGGGGGCAGCTGATGGATGTTTCTCTCCCATCAATGTTTCTAGCTCCCTCTCCCTCTCCCTTCCTCTCTGTAAAAAAACAATAAATTATTTTTTTAAAAATTCAGTGCGTAGCCAATACCGGTTTGGCCCAGTGGATAGAGCGCCGGCCTGCGGACTCATGGGTCCCAGGTTTGATTCCGGTCAAGGGCGTGGACCTTAGTTGTGGGTACATCCCCGGTGGGGGGGGTGCAGCTGATCGATGTTTCTCTCCCATCCATGTTTCTGACTCTCTATCTCTCTCCCTTCCTCTCTGTAAAAATCAGTAAAACATTTTTTAAAAAATGCAACGTGTGTGCATGTGTGCGTGCATGTGTGCGCGCACATGCGTGTGTGAGTGTGTGTGTGTGTGTGAGCGTGAAATACACAATGAGGATCTCCGCCACGTCCTCCCCGCGGCTCGGAGGTGGGGCGGGTGTGAGGACAGGTGCACGGAGCAGCGCCCTCCTCGGCGCTCCGCGGGATGGGCCTGGGCGGGCGGGGAGGCGGCGGGGAGCCGGGGAGCCCGGCCGCTCCCCGATTCCCGCGAGGCTCAGAGGTACAGGTAGCCGATCCAGTAGACCAGGTTGAAGAGCAGGAAGGAGGTGGGGAAGAAGACGCGGGAGTAGGCGTCCAGCTCGGCCAGGTCAATGTGCAGGCGGCCGCGCCGCCAGGGCCCCGCCTTGCACTCCTCGAAGCAGCAGAAGAAGCCCTGGCAGTCCTTGCCGTCCAGGCACTCGTACCCGCACGCCTCCTCCAGCTCCGGCCAGTACCGCGCGTGGCTGAGGGCCACCACGGCCGGCGGCGGCCGCACGTCCAGCAGGGAGTAGTTCTGCGGGGGGGGGTGACAGGGACGGGACTGAGGTCACCACGGGGGTCACCGTGGAGATCACCTCGAAATGCACCCAGAACAGCCAGGAGGGACCAGGCCAGGCCGTGGGCACGGCCCCCCTTTCCCCCTCCCCGTGGCAGGCACAGGAGGGTCAGTCTTTGAGGATTCTGTTTTTTGCAAATCGAATGCAAGAAGTAGCACAGCCGAAACCGGTGTGGCTCAGTGGATTGAGCATCGGCCTGCAGACTGAAAGGTCCCGGGTTCGATTCCGGTCAAGGGCATGGGCCTTGGTTGCGGGCACATCCCCAGTAGGGAGTGTGCAGGAGGCAGCTGATGGATGTTTCTCTCTCATCGATGTTTCTAGCTCTCTGTCCCTTTCTCTTCCTCTCGGTAAAAAAATCAATAAAATATATTTAAAGAAGAAGAAGAAGAAGAAGAAGAAGAAGCACAGTGCATGCCACTCAGCTGGCGTGGCTTAGTGGGTCTGAGTGTGGCCAGCTGGCCCAGGAGGCCACAGTCGGGGCATGTGCCCCGGGTCTCGGGCTGGACCCCCAGTAGGGGGCATGCAGAAAGCATACCTACGCAATAACATATCTGTCTATCTCCCTTTAGTAAGAATTGGCAGAAGTGTTTGCACCTGGAGCGCTATACATACGGAGGGGGCCTGCAGGGCGATCCGCTCGTGGATCCACCTGGAGGAGTCTGGACGCAGTAACTGCAAGAGAAATGGAAAAAGGGAACTGCAAAATCTGCATCGAACAGCCCCTCGCTCAGAACAATTTAAAAACATGTATCATCTTTATTGACTTCAAAGAGGAAGGTGGCGGGGGGGAGAGAGAGAGAGAGAGAGAGAGAGAGAGAGAGAGAGAGAGAGAGAAACATCAACAATGAAAGAGAATCACGGGCCAGCTGCCTCCTGCACGCCCCACATGGGGGATCGAGTCTACAACCCGGGCCTGTGCCCTGGATCGGGAATTGAACTGTTCACAGTTCCTGGTTCACAGGTCGATGCTCAAACCACAGTGCAACACGGGCTGGACTTAAAAAAAGGCTTGCTGAGTTAGCTATTTATGTCATCTATAGAATAAAAGGCTAATATGCAAATCGACCCAAGGGCGGGATGACTGGCCGCTATGATGTGCACTGACCACTGGGGGCAGCTGCTCAATGCAGGACTGTCCCCTGGCCTCTGGTGTGTAAGCTCCTCAGGAGTATAGGTCGTTTATCTCAGACTCCCCGCCCCGCCCCCACCTCTGCCGCGGCGCTCACCGGCGCCCTCTTCCTCGCGGCGGCCGGCTTCCGGCAGCTGGAGTAGTAGTTGAGGGTGGCGTACTCCATGAGGGCTGCGAAGACGAACAGGAAGCACACGGTCACGAAGAGGTCCATGGCCGTCACGTAGGACACGCGGGGCAGCGAGTTCCGGGCGATGGTGCTGAGTGTGGTCATGGTCAGCACCGTGGTGATGCCTGCGGGGGGGGTGGGGCGGTGAGACGGGGCTGCCTGCCCCCTCCACGCCACCCTGCCCCTCCACGCCACCCTGCCCCTCCACGCCACCCGACCCCTCCACGCCACCCTGCCCCTCCACGCCACTCTGACCCCCTCCACGCCACCCTGCCCCTCCACGCCACCCTGCCCCCTCCACGCCACCCTGACCCTCCACGCCACCCTGCCCCTCCACGCCACCCTGCCCCTTCACACCAACGCCGTGCTCCATCTCTACTCTGTTCCCATTTAAACATGTCTTTATTGATGGAGGGGGGGAGGGAGGGAGGAGGAGAGAGAGAGAGAGAGAGAGAGAAAAGGAGGAAGAGAGAGAGAGAGAGAGAGAGAGAGAGAGAAAAGGAGGGAGGGAGGGAGAGAGACATGGAGGAGAGAGAGAGAGAGAGAGAGAAAAGGAGGGAGGGAGGGAGAGAGACATGGAGGAGAGAGAGAGAGAGAGAGAGAGAGAGAGAGAGGGAGAGAAAGGGAGGGAGAGAGACATGGAGGAGAGAGAGAGAGAGAGAGAGAGAGAGGGAGAGAGAGAGGGAGGGAGAGAGACATGGAGGAGAGAGAGAGAGAGAGAGAGAGAGAGAGAGGGAGAGAGAGAGGGAGGGAGGGAGAGAGACATGGAGCGAGAGGGAGAGAGGGGCTTGGAGGAGAGAGAGAGACAGAGAGACAGAGAGAGGGGTGGGGCCGGGGCCGCTCACCGAGGGCCGTGCGCGCCGGCGTGGCGTCCTTCTTGATCCAGAAGGACACCCAGGACAGCACCACGGTGAGGATGCAGGGGATGTACGTCTGGATGGTGAAGTAGCCCATCCGCCGGCTCAGCTCGAAGTAGATGGTCATGAGGACGTAGTCGCCTGCAGCACACACACACACGTATGTACACACATGTACACACATAGACACACATGCAGGCACACACACAGTCACCGGTGAGGCCACCTCCAACACACACACGTTCACGCATGTACACGCACACACATACACACACATACACATACATACACAGTCACCGGTGAGGCCACGTCTCTCTCACACGCACACGGCCGCCCATGAGGCACGTCCTCGGCCCGGACACAGGCGGGGAATGTGCCCAAGGCTCAGTGGCCGATGGGGAAGCGGCACTGAACCGGGGAAACCACGCCTTTCCCGATCCTGCCTCCTCTTCTTCTTTCTCTTCCTTCCCTTCCTCCCCCTCCTTCTCCTCTTCCTCTTCTTCTTTTTTTTAAAAAATATTTTATTGATTTTTTTTCACAGAGAGGAAGGGAGAGGGGTAGCGAGCTAGAAACATCGATGAGAGAGAGAGAATCATCGACCAGCTGCCTCCTGCACGCCCCCCACTGGGGATGTGCCCGCAACCAAAATCCATGCCCTTGACCGGGAATCGAACCCGGGACCCCTGAGTCCGCAGGCCGACGCGCTGTCCACTGAGCCACACCGGTTTCGGCCTTCCTCCTCCTCCGGAGGCCGCGGTCTGTGGCAGCCATCTCTGGGCGGCTGACAGAAGCCTCCATCCCAAGATCGCTCCCCAAAGCCACCTCGGGTTGCCAGCGCGTCAGCATCCCGGCACCGAGGCGCTGGCGTGATTAAGCCACAGCAATCAGCGCACACAAATATTTCCCCACGGCGGCGGCGTGCGGGGGCCGTCCCTTCCCGGGGGGGACCGGGCTGAACGGCGGGCGATATTAAAAGCCTATTAATTTTTACATAAAGTCTCAATCAGGAGCGGAGCAGGAAGACAAACAGGAGACGGGAACGCCGAAGAGAATAAATCACCCCGGCAGGGATACGCACGGCCCCCCCCCCCCCCCCCCCCACGGAACATCCAACAGAGGCCGACAGCCGAGCGAGATAAACGGAGGGACGAGGCCATCCTTCTCAGCCGACCCGGCAACGCCGAGCCGGGAGAGCAGCTCCGCAGACTCCTCCCCGGCCACGTCCCGCCTTGGGGAGGAGGTGAGAGGGGCCGCGATCCGGGACCTGACCTTGAGCTGCTATGGTGGGACGATGAGAAGCTGGGAGAGTCCCCATAGAGCAGAACAGGGAAAAATTAAAACCCAAAAGCCCTGGCTGGTGTGGCTCAGTGAGTAGAGCGTCCACCCTTGTGGGCCGGAGGGTCCCGGGTTCGATTCCGGTCAAGGGCACAGGCCCGGTTTGCGGGCTTGATCCCCAGGAGGGGGGTGTGCAGGAGGCAGATGATCCGTGATTCTCTCTCAGCATGGATGTTTCTCTCTCTCTCCCTTCCCTCTTTGAAATCAATAAAAATATGTATTTATTTTATTTAAAAAAATATATATATATATTTCATTGTTTTTTTACAGAGAGGAAAGGAGAGGGATAGAGAGTTAGAAACACCGATCAGCCGCCTCCTGCACACCTCCCACTGGAGATGTGCCCACAACCGAGGTATATGCCCTTGACTGGAATCGAACCCGGGACCCTTGAGTCCACAGGGCAACGCTCTATCCACTGAGCCAAACTGGTTAGGGCAAAAAATACATTTAAAAAAACAAACAAACAAAAAGCTTTGCAGGCTATAGGTAGCAAGACCTTAACTTGAGAACAAAGAATTAAAACCTCTCCTTCACACAGAGAATGCAAAGTGGGGGGAGAGGGGGAGGAAGAGGGAGAAGAGGAGGAGCCTGCAACTAGAAAATGCACATATTTAAAAAAATATATATATATGTTTTTATTGACTTCAGAGAGAGGAAGGCAGAGGGAGACTGAGAGACAGAAACACGGGTGACGAGTCAGAATTATGGATCGGCTGCCTCCTGCGCGCCCCCTCCTGGGGGGGAGGGGATCGAGCCGGCCGCCCGGGTGGGGGCCCTGGACCGGAATCGAACCGTGACCTCCTGGCTCCGAGGCGGACGCTCAGCCCGCCGAGCCACGCGGCCGGTGGGGCGGGCGGCATTTGCTCTGGAGGAAATAATTCACGAGGCCTGGCTTTCAGAGGGCAGACGCAGCCCGCGGGGACGGAGCCCCAGAGCCTCGATGTTCTCGGCGGGCGAGCCGTTCGTTCAGCCGAGCAGTTGCTCTTCCCGCTCCCCTGCCTACGTGAGAGGCGCTGGGCTCGGTCTTGTGAGCAGAGAAGGCACGGCCGCTATTTTTAAAACCCGGACGAGGACGCCCAGACCGACTGACGCATTCCCCGGCTGCACTCGGGCAGAAGGGGGCCGGCCACGTTCGGAGCGCCTGCCTCCGCTGGAGCTATTTAGACGTGAGCCTCTCTCTGCACTCAGACACAGACCCCCCTGGTGGCGCCCGGGGCTGACGGAGTGGGCTGCTGAACCCGGAAAGCCGATACGTGAGTCCCACCGTTCTCCCTCACAAGGAAGGACGCGAAGGATAGCGTGATATAGATCTACACGAATAGAAGGGCCATGTGCTGATCAGACCCGACCTTCTTCCGGACAAAGCCATCATGGTGGCAGGGGGCACAGAGGCAGAGGCGGTGAGGGGCGATCAGGCCGGCCGGGGAGGGCAGTGAGGGGCGATCAGGCCGGCCGGGGAGGGCAGTGAGGGGCGATCAGGCCGGCAGGCAGGCAGGTAAGTGGTTAGGAGCCAGTGGTCCCTAAACTGGCAGTAGGTCATCCCCCCAAGGGGTCCCAGATTGGAGAGGGTGCAGGCGGGGCTGAGGGACCCCCACATCCTGTGCAGGAATTTCATGCACCGGGCCTCTGGTATATATATAATACATAATGTTTTATTTTGTTTGGTTAATCCTTACCTGAGGATAGTTTTTCCATTGATTTATAAAAAAATATATATATATATTTGTTACTGGTTTCAAAGGGGAAGGGAGAGGGAGAAACATCCATGATGAGAACCATTCATCGCTTGCCTCCTGTACGCCCTCTGCTGGGGATCCAGCCCGCCTGTGCCCCAACCAGGAGTCGAACCCATAACCTCCAGGTTCATAGCTGGATGCTCGCCCCTGGGCCACACGGCCAGGTCCCATGAATTTTTTTTAAGAGAGAGCCACGCCGTGGCCAGCCGGCTCCTCCCTGAGGGCGTGGCCAGGGTCTCCGTGGTGTTCCACGGATTTTTATTTATTCTTTTAGAGAGAGCGCCACGCCGTGGCCGGCCGGCTCCTACCTGAGGGCGTGGTCAGGGTCTCCGTGGTGTTCCGGTGGCCCATGAAGTCAAACTGGTAGAGCCGCCAGGACTTCTGGTTGGCCGTCTCCACCGAGTTCTTCCTCCACCGGTAGATCATCTCCTCCTTGGGGTAGCCATCTGCGAACACGGCACACGCGTGAGCACGCCGGAGGACACGGGCGCCACCCAGCACGACCGCCACGCGTGTGCCTCCGACCGCTTCCCGTGTTCGGACGCTTCGGGCCCCCTTGGTCTCCGCATTCCCCTGAACGCACAGACACCCCAAGAAATGAACGGGAAGGGGCCAGCGGCTGAGGAGCTTCAGGATCACAAGATGGTCCCCAGCCACTGGCCGGGCCGGCAGCTGTGTGGACGCCACACACCGGCGCCGTCTCCCCGTGGAGAGCCACCCGAGATTGGGGGTCAGGGTCCCCTCAGCTCCCAGACACCCAGAGCTCACGGCCTGGCCCAGACCCGCCCACCACACCGTCCATCCGCTGCTCCCCGGAAGGAGACCAGCCAGGTCTCCGGAAAGACAGATCCTCAGGTGGGGGCGTGCAGGAGGCAGCCGGTCCATGATCCCCTCTCATCCCGGACCTCTCTCTCTCTCTCTCTCTTTCTCTCTCTCTCTCTCTTCCCGTCTGAAATCAATAAAACAAACAAACAAACAAAACCCCCCCAAACAATAACAAGCATGATTCCGAGCAGTAACCTCTCCCCCGGATGCCGCCTCGCCCACTTCCTGCGAGCTGACAGAACTTCCCAGAATTAACCAGACACCGACCAGACGACAGGCGGAGGCTTTATGCAAACGAGCCCTCTCTAGCCGCGAACGTTAATGAGCGGGATAGGAGGATGAGGAGAAAACACACACACACACAAAAAACTGGCATCTCATTCTTCCCACCGGCGAAAAATAGAAAAGGGAACACACGGTGGAGGACGGGAGAGAGGACGTCTCTGTTGGGCGTCCGCCCACCGTCACCGCAGGCAGTGGAGGAGGAAGTAACTATTCCGTCGGCAGCAGGGGCTTCCCTGTGTCTTAAACCAGCCCCAACGTCCGGATCTGACTGTGTCTGTTTTAGAGATAAGGACCCAGTTACGTGGGAGAGTTACACACGCGCTTACGTTACCCGCCAGAACGTGACTTACCCACACCGCGGCTCTGAGATCAGGGCGTGGCTCCTCCTGAGACTCCGAGGGCCAGCCTGGACCCCAAGAGCCAGCCTAACCCTCAGAGGCAAGCCTAGTCCCTAAGGCTCAAACTCAGCCCCGAAGCGACAATCCTTTTTTAGTTGTTATTTAAAAAAATAATAATTTTATTGCCAAAGCCGGTTTGGCTCCGTGGATAGAGCGTCAGCCTGCGGACTGAAGGGTCCCAGGTTCGATTCCCGGTCAAGGGCATGGACCTTGGTTGCAGGCACATCCCCAGTAGGGGGTGTGCAAGAGGCAGCTGATCGACGTTTCTCTGCCATCGATGTTTCTAGCTCTCTATCCCTCTCTCTTCCTCTCTGTAAAAAAATCAATATGTTAAAAAATAATAATTTTACTGATTTCAGAAGAGAGAAAGAAGAGATAGAAACATCCACAATGAGAGAGAATCATCGACCCGCTGCCTCCCGCCTGCCTCCCACTGGGATCCAGCCTGCAGCCCGGGCCTGTGCCCCGATGGAGAATCGAGCTGTGGCCTCTGGGTTCACAGGTCACCGCTCAACCCCGGAGCCACACCGGCCCAGCTCAGCAGGCAATACCTTAGACCCAAATCATGGTCACGGCACGTTTCCCGCCGGACGCTGTGTACATAAATGAACGGCGGTTCATAATCTATTTGCCGCCTCATTGGCTGCCTGCTCCCGAGGAATTGTACGCATCGTTTCACTCTGTGTAGCTGCCCGGACGGGCGCGGAATAGATTACACAGAGCAAATGTAGATAAAAAAACACGAAGAATCACCGGGCAACGGAGGACAAACTCATTTCCGCGGCGACTGGCCATAAACAGAAACGCAAAGAGGGATTATCCTTCGGGGAGATGATGACGGTTCAACATACAAGTCCTATCGCTTGTGACGGGACATGCCCAGATTGGATTGGGAGTAGCAAACAGTGAGAAAAAACCCAGACTTTAATTTTTGACTTTTTTTTTTTTAAAATAACATATTTTATTGATTTAAAAAAAATTTTTTTAATTGAGTTTTGTTTATTTTTACAGAGAGGAAGAGAGAGGGATAGAGATGAGAGAGAAACATCCATCAGCTGCCTCTTGCCACCTCCTACTGGGTATGTGCCTGCAACCAAGGTCCGTGCCCTTGACCAGAATTGAACCCGGGACCTTTCAGTCTGCAGGCCAACGCTCTATCCATTGAGCTAAAGAGGTTTTGGCATTTTATTGATTTTTTTCAGAGGAAGGGAGAGGGGAAGGGAGAGAGGGAGAGAGAGAAATACCAGTGATGAGAGAGAATCACGGATCGGCTGCCTCCTGCATGGACCCTAGCGGCGATCGAGCCCGCAACCTGGGCCTGTGTCCTGACCGGGAATCGAACTGCATCCTCCTGGTTCCGTGGGTGATGCTCAACCCCTGAGCCACGCTGGATGGGCTATTGGTTACTTTTAAAAATATATATATATTATTGATTTTTTACAGCGAGGAATGGAGAGAGGATAGAGAGCTAAAAACATCAATGAGAGAGAAACATCCATCAGCTGCCTCGTGCACGCCCCCCAACTGGGGATGTGCCTGCAACCAAGGTCCGTGCCCTTGACCGGAATCGAACCCGGGACCTTTCAGTCCGCAGGCCGACGCTCTACCCACGGAGCCACACCGGTTAGGGCTGATCTCCTAAATTCTAACAGCGGGCTGGAAACAAGGAAGAGGAAGGGAATTCTAAAAGCAAGCAAGCCCCAGCCAGTGTGGCTCCGTGGATAGAGCCTCAGCCTGCGGACCAAAGGGTACTGGGTTCGAGCCCGGTCAGGGGCACACGCCCGGGTGGCCAGCACAATCCTCAGTAAGAGGGCGTGCAGGAGGCAGCCGGTCAATGATTCTCTCTCATCCAGGATGCTCCTCTCTCTCTCTCTCTCTCCCTCCCCCTTCCTCTCCGAAATGAACAAAAATACATTTTAAAGGAATGCTCCCCCGCGGGCGTCGAAGCGCTCGGCAGAGAACGCCGTAAACAGAAGGTGGGTCAGGTCAGGCCGCCCCTGGGGCTGTGCTCGGGGCTGGCAGGTTTGCTGCGGGCTGCGGGGTCTGGGAGGGACGGACTGTGGGAAGCCCCTCCTCGCTCCTGGGATGCGTTTCTCTCCAGAGGAGGGGGTGGCTGCCAGGCAGGCGCCCGGGTCCCAGCCGTCATCGCCGTGGCCCCAAAGCCCTCGCCGGCCCCGAAGGCCCGTCTCCCTGGGACCGCCCCTGTCCCTGCACATGGCTCCTTGAGGTCTCGTTCGCTCCCTGAACAATTCAGGGAATGGGTATAATTTGTATAAAAAGGCAGGAACCTCTTCTTCACTTAAAAACATACTCAAGCCCTGGCCGTGGTGGCTCGGGGGGGGGGGGGTTCAGCATCGACCCGTGAACCACGAGGTCAAGGTTCGATTCCCAGTCAGGGCACATGGCCAGGATGCAGGCTCGGTCCCCAATAGGGAGCATGCTCACACTGGGTCTTAATAAAACAGGAGAGAGAGAGAGAGAGAGAGAGAGAGAGAGAGAGAGAGAGAGAGAGAGAGAAGGGAGAGAGACACAGAGAGAGGGGAGTTGGAGGGAGAGGGAGAGGGAGAGGGAGAGGGAGAGGGAGAGAAAGAAGGAGAGAGAGGGAGAGGGAGGGAGGGAGAGAGAGAGAGAGAAACCAGCCCCTACCTAATATTCTGGTATTATGTTGGCAATTGCTTTTTCCCCCTAAAATAAGCATCAAGCCCAATAACAACGACGTATCTCCTATAAAATGCACCCAGATAGAGGTCTGGAGCCGAGTTAATATCTGCGTATAACCTTGTGCAATCCTGTAGGGCGTTATCGGCTTATAAAACACCACTGAGGCAATTAAAGCCCAGCAGAGCGGGCGGAACGCCCATCGGGGCTCACGCCACAGGGCCGTGGACGGAGGAGCTTCTCCCCGCTGTGTGTGCCTGAGAATCCGGAACATTCCTGCGCTCTTTCCCCTCCCCAACGACTTGCCGTGATCACACTTCCTTCTCCCCACCACACGTTTTTGTTTCAGTCTCTTAGGACAGCAACGTCCTACTCTGATGCATGCCGCAGGCTTTGCCTTTTTCTAAACAGACCGTACGATGTTTATATTTGTGAAATGACTGCCGGACGCTGTGGCTCAGTGGCAGAGCACCGACCTAGGAACCAGGAGGTCCGGTTCCCGGTCAGGGGCACGTGCCCCGGGTTGCAGGCTCCATCCCCGGTAGGAGGCATGCAGGAGGCAGCCGACCCATGATTCTCTGTCATCATTAATGTCTCTCTCTCTCTCTCCCCCTCCCTCCACCCCTCTCTGTGAAATCAATACAAACATACTTAAGGACGTGCTTGTGAGAGAACACATTCACGGTAATTGGTTTTATGGAACTGAGATTTGCAAAAACAGATAATTTCCCTCGGGGTCTTGGGCTTTTCTTTGCCTGGCCGGAGAGCAAGGAAGGGGAGTGGAGCCCTCACCAGCGTGGCTCAGTGGATAGAGCGTCGGCCTGCAAACTGGGAGGGGAGGAGTGTCCCAGGTTCGATTCTGGTCAAGGGCATGTACCTTGGTTGTGGGCATATCCCCAGTAGGGGGTGTGCAGGAGGCAGCTGCTGGATGTTTCTCTCTCATCAGTGTTTCCAACTCTCAATCTCTCTCCCTTCCTCTCTGTAAAAAAATCAATAAGATACTTTTTTAAAAATAAAAAGAAAGAAGGAAGGAAGAAAAGGGAGTGGAACTCATAGACTCAGGTTGTCCTGATGTCCCACCTGGGACAGCAGGCTGTGAGAACTGTCCGTGGTGCTGACGCGGCGATTTCTGTTACCAGCTAGCTGCCGTGCTTCCCCGAAAATAAGACCTATTCATAGGTTTCCTTCTGAGTGAAATGTAAGGCATCCCCCCCGAAAATAAGGCCCCCTAGGCTCTGTCTCAGAATGCTACGGCTAAACATGAGAGATTTGGTCCACTGATTCTGAAAGAAACGGAGTCACAAAAAATTCACCAGGAAATTCAGGAATTGGATTGTGATGACGATGTTCCAGAAGATGATGACATGATTGTCATCGAATAAATGAGTAAATTCTTTTTTTTTAATTGATTATTTGTTGTCGGTAGCGATCAGTATTTTTTTTAAAAAAATATATATTTTGTTGATTTTTCACAGAGAGGAAGAGAGAGGGATAGAGAGCTAGAAACAGCGATGAGAGAGAAACATCGACCAGCTGCCTCCTGCACACCCCCTACCGGGGATGTGCCCACAACCAAGGTACATGCCCTTGGCCGGAATCGAACCCGGGACCTTTCAATCTGCAGGCCGACGCTCTACCCACTGAGCCACACCGGTTTCAGCTGGATCTGTCTCTTTATCGTTGAGTAGGACCCTTCTTCGTGGTCGTGGTCAGGGATTCTTAGCCAGTCCTCCCCCCCCCCCAGAAGTGGGGCCAGAGGAGAAGGCAGCTGGCCACAGACCCAGGGTGACGGACACAGACACAGAGACAGACACGTGGCTGTCCATGCCGGACCCCCATGCACACTTGGGGGGACCGGAAGCTTCCGGGCCCGCACCACGGAGCCGCCGGCTGCCCTCCGGTAACTGCCGGCTCTGCTCTCTCCCACTCCGAGCTAATGACATGGAATTAAAACTGTGTGTCTGGCCTTTGTCCCTTTGCTGGCTCAGAGCTCCTGACTCCCTGGGCCGTGACCAGGGCCGGCCTGACAGCCCTTTGTTGTGCAAAGGAGGGAACGAGGTGGGCGGCCGGGAGCGGCGGGAGCGGGGCTGGTTGCCAAGGGAACGGGGCGGGTGAGGGGCGGTCAGTGGGGACGGGAGTTCCATCCCCGTGACCTCTGGAGAGAGAAGAGGGGGCTGGAGGCAGAGCCAGCCACAAAGGCCAACCGTTTTTTTTTTTTTTTTTAATTATTAGTTTTGGGCCAGAAAACCTTTTGAGAGAGATCACCCTTCCCCCAGCGGACGGACGGAGAGTGAGGCAACCTGCACCTGCAGCCTGGACATTCCTGAGCCCCCAACCAGGCACCTTACAGGGACTGTGCATCGAACCGCCAATCAGCACAGGCCGAACACCCTACGCCCCGATTCCTAAGTCCCTAATCACGTGCCTTCTGTGAAACCACCAATCCGCCGAGACCAGCGTGGCTCAGTAGATACAGCGTCGACCTGCGGACACAGGGGTCCCGGGTTCGATTCCGGACAAGGGCATGTGCCTTGGTGGCAGGCACATCCCCAGTGGGGGGCATGCAGAAGGCAGCTGATGGATGATTCTCTCTCGTCGATGTTTCTAGCTCTCTATCCCTCTCTCTTCCTCTCTGTAAAAAATCAATAAAAATATATTTTTAAAAATAGATAAAATTAAAAAAAACAAACACACCCACCCATGTGCCCAGTGCCCTAAGCCTCGTCCCCTCTCTTTCCTCCCCTTAAAAAGTGCTTGTACCCCGGCCCCGGCTCTCTCTCTCTCGCTCGCTCTCTCTCTCTCTCTCTCTCTGGAAGCAGCCGGCAGGGGTACTGTTCTCTCCGATCAAAGCCCGTGTCCGGGCCTCCCTTCTCTGTTCCATCTCTCAGTGTCCGGTTAAACAGCAAAACTGAACGGGCCCCGCCCCACGCACAGACCCGTCTCTGTGACCAGGGAAGGCCGTACGGAAGCACCTGTTGGAGCCGGAGGGAGGGCTCCTATGCTTGGGGTCTGGGCCGGAAACACCCCCGGGGCCCACCCCAGACCGTCCTCCGCTCGGCGGCTGCTCGGCAACGCCCTCACGCGTCCCGGACCGGCCGGACGCTCAGACGGAGGCATGCCTCGGGGGGCCCGGGGCCGGGGGTACTCACAGCTGGAGAAGATGAGCGGGCAGGAGTGCTCGTCCATGGGGAAGTGGTGCAGCTGCAGCTGGCACTCGGCGTTGATGGTGAGCCTGCGGGGGAGAGGAGGGAGGAGCCAAGGTCACGGCCAAGGTCACGGCCAAGGTCAGCCCGGCAGAGCCCGGCCAGAGTCACAGTGGGGGTGAGGGTGGGGGTGTCGGGGCGAGGGCACCAGCCATTCGGTGCCATCAAGGGGCTGTCTGGGTGTTGTGACATTCTGTATGGCTTTTAAAAATAAATATATATATTTTTATTGATTTCAGAGAGTAAGACCACCCCGAAGCCCAGCTCCTCTCCCCGCGCCCAGGTCTCCGGGCACGCGTGACGGGGCGTGTGCGTGTGCGGGAGGATGGTGTACCGGGAGCAGCCACCGGCGGTCTCACCCCGCCCTGAGATCGCGGGTTTGCTAATTGGCCCTAATGACACGTGTTAATTAGCGCGTCCTCCCGCTCCCCTCAGCGCCCGCGGTTAAATGGATTACAGCGCCATTTCCAGGCCAGCTCCCAGCAGCGACGGTTCCAATGAGGCGCAGCCTCCGTTCATGGCCAGCTACCTGTCCATGGGCCAATGCTCTATCCACTGAGCCAAACCAGACAGGGCAGTATTTTTTAAAAAAATACATTTTTTACTGATTTCAGAGAGGAAGGGAGAGGAAGAAAGAGAAAGAGAATCACAGATCGGCTGCCTCCTGCACACCCCACTCTGGGGATGGAGCCCACAACCCAGGCCTGTGCCCTTGACTGGAATCGAACCCGGGACCCTTCAGTCCCCAGGCTGATGCTCTATCTATTGAGCCACACCAGCTAGGGCTGTTTATTATTATTTTTAAATGTATATTCTTAGATTTCAGAGAGGAAGGGAAAGGAGGAGGAGGAGGAGGAGAGAGGGAGAAACATCCATGAGGAGAGAGAATCACGGACCGGCTGCTCCTGCACGCCCCACACTGGGGATGGAGCCCGCAACCCGGGCCTGTGCCCCGACCGGGAATCGAACCCTGACCTCCTGGCTCCCAGGCCGTGGGCCGTTATTCTCATACCCCCGGCGTCCGGGCGGGCGGAGTGCCCAGGCGTGGACGTTGGGAGGGAGCCCCCGCCCCTCCCCGGCCCCCCGCCCCCGCCCGCTCGCCTGAGCGTGTAGAGGATCTTCCCGTCGCTCCAGATGCGCAGCAGCTGGTTGGGCGTGGTGATCCAGTGGGCCTCCGCCGTCTTTGAGTTGCGGAAGATGGTGTCGGGGATCCAGATGAGCCCCACCATGTTGCTGTTGAGCGTCAGGATCTTCATGGAGCTGTTGAAGCGCAGCCGGCTGTCCGTCCAGGTCTGTGCAAAGAAGATGTCGATCTGGTACTCCTGCAGCACAGGGGGGACGGCTCTGTTAGCGGGTTTCCTCTTAAAAAAACACACTTTTTTTTTTTTATTGATGTCAGAAGGGAAGGGAAAGGGAGAGGGAAAGAGAGAGAGAGTTACATCCATGATGGGAGAGAATCACGGATCAGCTGCCTCCTGCACGCCCCCCACTGGGGATGTGCTCGCAACCAAGGTCCATGCCCTTGACCGGAATCGAACCCGGGACCCTTCCGTCCGCAGGCCGACGCCCTATCCACGGAGCCACACCGGTTTCAGCTAACATAACTTTTTTAATTGATGTCAGAGACGAAGGGAGAGGGAGAGAGAGACACATCCATGATGGGAGAGAATCATGGATCGGCTGCCTCCTGCACGCCCCACACTGGGGATCGAACCCGCACCCCGGGCAGGTGATCTGATGGGGAATGAAACCTGTGACCTCCTGGTTCGTAGGTCAACGCTCAACCACTGAGCCACACCAGCTGGGCTACAGACTCATTTTTTTTATGGGGTCATTTTTTTTTTTCTTTCTTGATAATTGCCACCCAAAGATATATCTGTCTGTCTATCTATATGTCTGTATCTCTCTCTGTCTCTCTCTCTCTCTCTCTCTCTCTCTCTCTCTCTCTCTATATATATATATATATATATATATATATATATATATATATATATATATAAAATAGAGGAATAGAGAGCTAGAAATGTCGATGAGAGAGAAACACCCATCAGCTGCCTCCTGCACGCCCCCCACTGGGGATGTGCCCGCCACCAAGGCACATGCCCTTGATGGGTTTCGGCGGTTTTCTCTATTGCTACTCCTTCAAGTTATGGACCGGCCCTGGCTGGTCTGGCTCAGTGGCTAGAGCGTCGGCCTGCGGATGGAAGGGTCCCAGGTTCGATTCCCGGTCAGGGCACATGCCCGGGTGGCGGGCTCGATCCCCAGGTGAGGGCGGGCAGGAAGCAGCCGATGGATGGTCCTCTCTCCTCACAGATGTTCCTGTCTCTCTCTCTCTCTGTCCCTCTCCCTCTTCCTCTCTATTGAAATCAATAAAACAGCGAACAGATATCAATACCATAATGTCACCCGCCCCTAGCAGGAGACGGCCTCCCTGTTGCTATGGGAACAGCCCCTCGTTACCTTCCCTCTGTCCCTGCGTGCCGCGTGACAGACAGAGCCTGCATCCTGGTCGCCACGGCAACAGCCTGCTCCCGTCCCTGCTCCCGCCAGGACACGGCTCTGATTCCTGGTGACAGACCCAGGAGAGAACCAGGGTCGGGTCCCCGGGTCTGACCCAGGCGGGCACAGGCCTTCATCCTGCAGGTGCCAGCTCCCTGGCTGGACGCACCACGGCCTCCTGCCTCCCTCCTTCTCTCTCTCCTTCTCTCTCTCTCCTTCTCTCTCTCTCTCTCTCTCACACACACACACACACACCCTGGTCTGCTTCCCTAAGGATGGCTCGATTTTTTTGTTTTTGTTTTGTTTTTATATATATTTTATTGATTTTTTACAGAGAGGAAGGGAGAGGGATAGAGAGCTAGAAACGCCGATGGGAGAGAAACATCGACCAGCTGCCTCCTGCACACCTCTGACCGGGAATGTGCCCACAACCAAGGTACATGCCCTTGATTTGAATCGAACCCGGAACCTTTCAGTCCACAGACCGATGCTCTACCACTGAGCCACACCGGTTTTGGCTATTTTATTGATTTTCCACAGAGAGGAAGGGAGAGGGATAGAGAGTTAGAAACGTCCATGGGAGAGAATCATCGACCAGCTGCCTCCTGCACGTCCCCCACTGGGGATGTGCCCGCCACCAAGGCCAGAATCGAACCCGGGACCCCTCCGTCCGCAGGCCGACGCTCTGTCCACGGAGCCACGCCGGTTTCGGCGAGAATGGCTCGTTTTTTAACTTCAATCTCCTGGGAGAGGTGTCTCCCTGCCTCAGAAACGTTCGAACCGTCCACAGCCGTCCGTGAACTGTACACGTGTGTTTCCGAGGCCCCTGCAGAACGCTCGGGAACGCCGCCATTCGTACGACGGCCCCGGGAAGTGCTCTGAGGAAAACGGAGCCCTGGCCGGCGTGGCTCAGCAGACAGAGCGTCGGCCTGCGGACGGAGGGGTCCCGGGTTCGATCCGGTCAAGGGCATGGACCTTGGTGGCGGGCACATCCCCAGTGGGGGGCATGCAGGAGGCGGCTGATGGATGTTTCTCTCTCATCGATGTTTCTAGCTCTCTATCCCTCCCCCTTCCTCTCTGTAAAAAAAATCAACAAAACATATTTCTAAATACAATAAACACACACACACACACACACACACACACACACACACGGAAAAACAGCTTCCTGTTAAACAGCAAACCCGTCCCCCGCGGAGCAGCTGCTCACGAAGCCGGCGCAGGGGCTGAAAGGAATCGTGGGCCGCCCGAGGCTCTGCTCCCGGCGGGGACAATCGGCCATTCTTCCCCGGGACGCAGAAATAACCGGGCGGGCGGAGGGAGTCCCGGCTCCCTGCCTCGGCCCCATTCAGCCTGGCCTCACCCACGCCCACGCCCGGTCCGCACGGGGACTCCGGTGTCCCATTCGCTGCCCGACCACGGCGGCTCCTCTGGGTCCAGAGCTGACAGCCACACGGAATCCCAGCAGCGAGGCCGGTGCACACGCGTGTCCCGGGGCTGCTCGGCCTCAGCACGGATCTCCTGTCCGCGGCGGCCGCCCCCCTGAGCGCCCTCCTGGCTGCACACAGAGCCCCGTCTCTCGGATTCATGTGTACGGGACCCTCTCCGCCACGCATGGAGACATCACAGCTGTGGCTCCGTGGCTGAGTGGCCACGTGTGAACCGGGAGGTCCCCGTGGCCCCGTGGCCGGCGTGGCTGAGCACGGACCTAGGGACGGGGAGGCCACGGTGTGATTCCCAGACCCGGAATCATCGATCTGTGACCGCCTGGTTCAGAGGTCGGTGGGCGCCCACGGAGCCATGCTGGCCAGACGCCCCCTCCGCCCCTCGGCATTTTAATGGCTCTGTGATTGGATCCTCCCATCCTCCGGGGATTCCTCTTCTCCCCCTGCATTCCCTCCGGACGGAGAATCAAAACGCGCACGAAATATGAGCAGACTTCGATGCTCCATAAAGATAAACGTCTTATCGGCGTCTGATTGCCCGGGGGCCCCCGAGGGGCGCCGTGCGCCGAGCCTCGGGGATCACACGCTCGGCTTTCCTCCCCCTTTATTCGTCCCCGTGAAGGAGGCCGAGGAACCAGCTCCTTATTTTGCAGGGACGGCTAATCAATTCCCAAAGCCGCTCTCTCGCGAGTGAGGGGGTCGGGAATGTGTTAGTTCGTGGCACTTGTCCTCACGGAGACCGAGGGGAGCTGGTTTTTACTTCCCAGCTCCCCTTTTATCTCAGGTTGCACTTAAAATTTTTAAGTAATTCTTTTTTTTTTTTTAAATATATATTTTATTGGCTTTTTTTTTTTTTTTTTTACAGAGAGGAAAGGAGAGGGATAGAGAGTTGGAAACATCGACCAGCTGCCTCCTGCACACCCCCCACTGGGGATGTGCCCGCAACCAAGGCCCATGCCCTTGACGGGAATCGAACCCAGGGCCCTTCGGTCCGCAGGCCGACGCTCTGTCCACTGAGCCACACCGGTTTCAGCTGCAC